ATGTGAGATGATGAAATTATATCAGAATATGAACTTGTACATTCACTTCTGGAAGGTTCACCTGATCTGGGGATTCCACTTATTGAACTGACATGTTGTGTTAAGTCAGAACTAGCAAACAGTGACCATGGCAGTAAAATAGATCAGTATATGAATCTCTTTCACTGTTACCAAGCAATAGACTTTATCTGTCTTTTCTTACCAGTACTCAAAAGCTCTCTTCTAAACCAACCTCTTTCTTCTCATTTCTACCCTTTTTCTTATTCTTCTCCTGTTTTAAAAACCTAGCACAGCATTGCCCGTTCTAGGAAGAAGGGCTGGTTGTCAGTGTTGAACAGGAGCAACATAGTGACTTGATTTCCATTTAGCACGAGAATTAAAGAGATTTTATAAGAGTAAGGCTTTTGGTCTAGGACAGGGATTGGCAAACTATGGCCTGGTGACTATATCTAGTTTGACGCTTGTTTTGTAAATAAAGTAAATATTTATTTTATGTGTTTTCTGTGGCTGCTTTCACGCTACAATGGTAGACTCGAACTGTTGCAACAGAGACCATCTGGCCCACAAAGCCTAAAATATTTATTATCTGTCCCTTTACAGAAAAAGTTTGCTGATCCCTGGTCTAGGGAGAAACAGGTCCATAAACCTGTAAGCAGCAGTAAAATGAGTCATTTCTGTCTGGGTGAAAACTCATGTTTCCTCAGAGACTCACAGGCACCACTCATAATAAGGGGGGTGCTATCCAAGAAATTGGAACTTGTCAAGGCCTTCTCTCTTAGAAGTGTCATGTATTCATTGTAATGGCATTGTGAGCACAATACTCATCACCACCAGAAAAAGACACTTTTCGTAGAGTACTCAAGTTCGTCATAGAGATGTGTGTAGTCCCCCAGTTGTCTTCTAAAAACACTGTAAAGCTGCCTCCCTTGTCTCTATCTCTCTTTGCTCTTGTAGGCCCTCCTTGCGCTAAGAATAATGCTAGAAAAGTGAGAAGTCAAGCAGTGTATCAGGGTTAGGCTTGGAGAGTGCAGAATGAATGGGGGTGTAGGGTGGGGATCTACAGAAGGAAATCGTCCAAGAAATGTAAGAGGCCTTCTTTGTCGTTGGCGCTAGGAAGATTGGAAGAACCCTACGGATGATTTGTCCTTCTGGTAACCACCTCCTTCTAAGATAAATAAGTGAAATGAGAGTGACATTAAGAATGCATTAAGGGTTTCTCACAATATTAACTGAACTTTGTGCTACGTGGTGAGGATTTTTATTGATAGGACTAATTAGAGAATCTCATTAATTTCTGTGTCTTATCAGTGCTTTGCCAGTGTTTATTTTGGTTTTTTGTTTTTTAATTAATTTATTTATTTTTGGCTGCGTTGGGTCTTCGTTGCTGCGCACGGGCTTTCTGTAGTTGCGGTGAGCAGGGGCTACTCTTCGCTGTGGTGCACGGACTTCTCATTGTGGTGGCTTCTTTGTTGCAGAGCACGGGCTCTAGGTGCGCGGGCTTCAGTAGTTGTGGCTCGCGGGCTCTAGAGCGCAGGCTCCGTAGTGGTGGCGCACGGGCTTAGTTGCTCCGGGGCACGTGGGATCTTCCTGGACCAGGGCTCGAACCCTTGTCTCCTGCGTTGACAGGCGGATTCTTAACCACTGCACCACCAGGGAAGTCCCCAGTGTTTATTTTGAATTTGTGACTTCAGGGAAATGCTTCAAGTGTCCTTGTTCCTTAAATCAGTATTCAGTTTTACTTATCTTCTTGTTCATCACTTATGTATTGACCTGTGGTTACTGGAAATTCTCCCACCTCAAGAAAAATAGGGTTTTGTGTAATTAAATTGAATTTTTGAAGACAGTAGCAGTCATTATTGAATATTTGAAACAGAAATACCAGGTGCCTTAACTTTTCTTTATCTTAGAGATGCTATATCATGGCCAATGTCATTATTAAGTCTGAAATTCCAGCCTCCAGTCTTGTTTGTCAGAAATTAATGTTTTTCTTTTAAAATCATGACAGAGCCATACTGTTAGATATAATTAGTTATGTTATGACCTGGGAGTTGAATTATGAGGAGATAACTTAGTTTATAATCATAATGCATGTGAGGAGGACATATTTCATTGATGTTTTACTTTCTTCCCAGTTAATGTTCATTAGAAATAATATTTAAATGGAAGTATTTTTCTAAATACAGAATACTTATTAAAATAGGGTTATTAATAAGGGCACATTTACTTATTAGTTCAGAAAGGTTAGCTGTGATTATGGTTTTAATCTCAAATGAGGTGTATGTCAAGTTGTTAGGTTTGCTAAGAAGATTTGTACAAATTTAAGATATTATTAATTTTTATAAACCAATAGCAATATGTACTTATTTCTGTTTTGGTTATTTTTGAAGATGTCTTTAGTAGATTATTATATTCATATATTAAAATGTTACTAAGTTTTTCTCTGAAACCTTAAGCTAAACACTTTTTAGTGTAGTTTTTTTCTGAATTATCTTCTGAATAAAATTTGTTACTTCTGAAGTGCTGTCAGCTGCCAAGCCCAAAGATGTAAGAGGGACATAGGATCTGTTCTTTTGGTGGAGTTAAGTTGGGACTACACCGTGAAGCCTTAATACCAAGTTAGTTTGTTCTGACATATGACATGTATGTTTTTATGAACCTGACATGTTTGTAAAGTTAGTAGGTAGACAGACGCTTCTTAGGGAAAAAAAAAAGCAGTGTTGAAGTCATGCACATTTGTTGTAATTATAACTGCCCTTTTCTTAGACATGTTTTATGCCTTGTTTAAATTTTACTCCTTGTTACTCCGTGGTTTGTACGCATTCAGAGTTGTAGATTTGTAGTTGTAGTTGTAGGTTTATGTAGTAATAAAACTACTCAGTTTTCCCAGCTTTCTTTCTGAAAAGCTTTTGGGGGGGGTTATTTTTATTTAAAATGCACCCATTTCTATATAAGTTTCATACTAGGCATCTATACATAAAAGACAACATAGTGGCAGTAATGACCTAATCATCTTTTACTGTTTCGGTTGAAAATTACAAAGAGTAATATTTTAGTTGATTTCAGTTGCATATAAATATGTATTATTTTTAATATCCCAAGAACAGGACTTATATTACTAAAAATCCCATGGAATGCTTAAATACTCAGAATATACTCCAATAATTTAAATTCTACTGAATATAGAATTAACTTATTTCAAAAATACACACAAATTATGTGATATAAGCACAAATATTTATGCATTCCATTCTTACTGGATTTCACACAAGCCCGCCCAGCCCTGTTACTCTGATTGAGTCATTTAATGTGGTTTTATAATTCTGCATTTATGCAATCTGTGATTTTGATCAGGTGTTTCTTTTTTTCTGCTGATCTAAGTTAATTTTAGCACAGCCCATCTCTGATTATCCATGCTAATAAGTAAGGAAAGAGCACAGCATAAAAAGTTACAATTTAAAAATAATTTTAAAATCTCAGTCAAGGCAGTTTTTAACTTTTTTCTTTGCTAACAATTTCTGCAACCCACCCTATCACTTCAAAAAACCCTATCATTTCATTTTAGTTCCCTGCTCTGGTTTCTGTTAGAGGTGCAAAGAGTGAGTAACTCATGGCTAGAAGACAGGGGGGTAAAAAGCAGAGTTTTAGATAATCTACATGCTCAGTAATCCTCCTTTGAAAAACAGCAAATGAGCTGAGCATTTCATAGAATGCCTTTTCCCCTAATTTATCTCAGGAGTATTTTGACCAAAAAAAATGCTCATACAGAAAACACCATAATAGGATAAAATATTGTGACACATACGAAGTACTCAAATAATCCTGTTTAATAAAGTACTTTTTCTGATTGTAGTCCTTTTGACGAAAGAAGTAATTGTTGAAATGTTCTGTGAACCCTTGGTTATATTAGAATATTATGGGGGCCTTTTATTGTCATTTTTCAAGGATTTCACTTAAATAATTCTTATTGTATACTGTTTTCACTGTAGTCATGGAAAAGAAATCTTTTAGCCTTGTCATCAAGTTGAAATTGCCCTTCAGATTTCTCATATTTATAACCTCAGTAGTTCTAGCTAGTAAAACAAAAACCTCATAAATACTCAAAAGGCAGTCTGGACTAGATCCAAACAGTTGCAGTTATATACCTCATCTTATTGTCCTACTAGAAATTTATATTCATTTATTTATGCTCCCTACCCACCATTGATATGGCTTACCATAGATCTTCAAAGTACAGCGTGCATTTCAGACAGTATTCAGGTTTCTAAAATTCCATTATCAGAAATCATTTTAAGTTATACAGTTCATTTTAAGAGAGTTTTTTTTTTCAAACCTATATTCTTTGCAACCAATAAAATTTCTAAGCCTTTTATCAGTTCTGTAGATACTTGGCTACAGAAAATGGTGTTCCTAAATCCTTTCATACAGTTCTTGTAGAATCATACAGTTATTAATGTTCACTGAATACTGTAGTTTGTCACCAACATTATTATACTTCATTCATTGAACTTCCTTAGATCCATATTGATACTTTTCATTTCTTCTTAAAAGTAAAACAAAACCAAAAAACTCTGAAGGTAATCACATAAATTTGTTGTCTTGCAGTTTGAGCTATCTTAAAACTTAAGCAGCCCTCCAAATGGCTACTCACCACTTGTAAGTAGTGGTCAGGTGACCTTTAAACAACATTCAGTTTGTTTGTATTATAATTTGAATTGAGAATGTGCTGGGAGGAGAAAAGAGAAGGAGACTGCTATTATGAAGCTGACTTAAATCACTTGTAACACCTGATTATGTATGTTGACATTTTGCCCCACTGTTTAGCATTCCTTTTCAATTCACATCATGCTGAATTACATGTAGATCATTGTTTTTTAAATATTTTGGAAAAAGAAGGTTATAGTACATTTTCTTAGATTGTAACAAGCTTAAAATTAGTGTTTCATGAAGGAAAATTTCTGAGTATTCTAATGGCTTTTTTAAAAAAATCATTTATTTGCTAGGTAAGTTCTCTTCTACGCTTTATGAGACTGGTGGCTGTGATATGTCACTTGTGAATTTTGAACCAGCAGCAAGAAGAGCATCCAATATCTGGTATGTGTGAAGTCATATTAGGAGAGTGTATGTACTTGCATATGTTTGCCGTTTTTAAAGTTTGTAAGCGTTGAGATAGAAAAGTTATTTTGAAAACATTTGTTTATATTGGCTTAAATAAATTGTCATTATGCATTTGTCACCAAAGAATTAAAGTAGAATTTTTTGCTGTGGAAAAAAAGAAAGCTGTTATTCTTAAAACAAAAGCTATTATGAATTTAAAAAAAATTAAGTAAAAATTTCCTGTAGATCTTACCATGGGACAGCGGTTTCCCGCAATTTCAAATTTAACTATGTATATATTGCATGATGGAAAAAACTTATTAGAAAAATATTTACACAGCTAAGTTCAAACCCATCGATTCTCTTTCTTTGTGTAATTTCAAATTTTTATTTCTGTGTGAGGGTTTTGGTCAAGTGTCTTTTTAAATGATTATCTTTCATTTTGTTTTAAAATGTGTTTACCAGCTGTAAGAAGGAGGAATTTCTTAAAATATGGGTCATATGTTGCATTTAGTTTCTTTTCTCTCCTTCCTTCAGGAAGGAATTATGTAAGATAACAGAGAAGTTAGGAGGAAAGCAAATAAGAAATAGAAATCTTGATCATATAACATAATCAATTATAGTTTAGAATGTGTTAAATTTTTTTCTGAAATTTTAATCTTACTCATCTATTCATATTGCTGCATTGAAATTCATTGTTGATTGATTAGCTCACTTTTTTTCCACAAGAGTCATTTGATTCTTATTTTAGGACTTCCATTTAATAGTGGGACACACCTATTTATATGTTACATATCTATGGGCAGCTTTTTCAGTTTTGAGGGTCTCTTTAAAGCAATAGGGTCTTGTGATCACTTAGCTTAGCATGCTGAAAAGCTAGAACATTTCAGAAACTGTACTCTTTAATAAAGCTCCTTTAGTCCAGTTTCAGAATTCACCCCCTCAAAAATGATTGGAGTGTTTAGATGATTTTGTAGCAGTGGAAGCAATAGGAGGATGGAGCAATGGGAACACTTTATTATGTTTAATATAGTTCAAGATAAGAACAATTCCTTACACCATAAATGTGGTAAGGTCTTAAGTTTTGAAATCTAAATTTGACTGAACTGTGGAAACTGAATTGTCACGTTCTAGACTATTATATCATAGGTTAAATTTATTATGGCTCCTGGCAATATGTTAATTGCTTTCTTAAACAATTTTCACAAGAACTTTGTGATAGAGGTACTTTTATCCTATGTTACCAATGAGGAAACTGAGGTATAAAAAGGTTAGATAACTTGTCCAAGATCTCATTCAGTTGTTGAGGAGATTTGAATATAGATACTTTGACCCAGAGGCTATGCTCCTAATCACAACTCTAGGAAAATTCGATTTTGCACTTTGAACTTTACGTGGAAAAGTAGACAGTGTAAGTATCATGTAATTGTTAATAGACTTATTTTTCTTTCTACTACTTGACAAGCTGTTTATTCCCTAAAGTCTTCTTCATTTTTCTTTAGTGACACGGATTCACATGTATCCAGTTCTACCTCAGTTCGATTTTATCCACATGATGTGGTAGGTTTTCCTTTATTTTTATAAAATGCTGTATTTTCAGATTAAGTAGCTATACAAATCAGAAGATTGATGAGATTACAACATATCAATTTTGTTGAAAACTGGCAAAATCACCTTTGCTGTCCCATAGTGGATCTCTTCTCATAAGTCCTTTGTTAAGAAACAAGCGTAAAGCACCGTGATGTTTAATTAGCTATTTATGAATCAGTAATTACACTTTTGAGGGTACATAGAGGTCTATTTACTCACCAGTGTCATAATCTGGTTGTGCTGTTTTTAACTGTGCCATTTTAAAACTTCATTTTGAGCATTATGATTTTGGTACATAGCTAACTGATTAGGTACTTATCTACTAACTGTTGGTTAACTATCATTTATTCATATACCAGTGTGTGTACTTAGTGATGTTATCGCTGTATAAAAAATTGCCCTATGAGAAGCAGTGGGTATATTTTAAAAAGATAACACTGCCTTTGTGTGATGTATATCAAAATATATATATCGAGGTTAGAAAAGATGAAACAGTTGAAATCCTTATAAGCAATATTTAAGAGATACGAGGTACGTGTAGATAAATTTTGTGCCAAAGAGATTAATTATTAGCGGCTTCCTGAAGATGATGAGTTGTGAGCAGGGTTTTAAAACCATAGATGTGAATTGGCACAGAACGATAGTTTTCAGCATTTGGCAATGTCTGGAAATATTTTTGCTTGTTACAACCAGGGGGATGCTGTAGGTATCAAGTGGGTGGAAGCCAGGGATGCTGTAAAACATTCTACAGTGGAAAGCGTAGCCCCCACCCAAAGAATTATCTGGCTTGAAAGTACCTGTAGTGCCAAGATTGAGAAACCCTGGCATAGAGGATAAGGGAAAAAAAGTGTTTGGGGAGATATTTGTCAATGCTTAGAGACAGAAATGGCTGTTATATATAAGAAACATATTTTCTTGACTATACCCCACCCCTGTGTAGGAAAAATAAAGACTGTCCCTACTCTTCTGCTGCAGTGTATTCCTGGAAACTCCACAGGAAAGCAGAAATGGGGAAATGATTACGGTGATCCCGTGGTATCCGCAGGGGATTGGTTCCAGGACCCTGTGAGGATACCAAAATCTATGTTTGCCCAAGTCCTTTATATAAAATCGCATATTAGTATTTTCCACTGTTAAATGGTATGAGAGCCTTGAGACAGCAAAATGCTGGCTAGTGCTATGCTAAATGCAGTAAACTTTGGATTCTTTCAGAGGAAGGGGAAACTGGTGAATGGATGAGTTGAAGCGGAAACAAATGTAATGTGGTAATATCCTGTATAGCCTCAGATGAGCAGCCTGCCAAAACAAAAATAAAGGAGTGTGGGAGGGATTTGAAAACAGCAGTAACAGTGATAAGAGACTGTACGAAGAATTGAGATTTGAAGGCATTGAATCCAGTGCAGAGGAGCTTAGATTTGACACAGTAGTGAGGTTCATAGCTTAATGAGAGAAGAGAAGGGGTAGGGAGAAGGGAAGCCGCTAATGATTCCCTGTTGGTGATTTTAATGGATTCACTAGCTATACAATCATAAAATACTAAAATTTCAAATACTTCCTAGTAAAATCTTTCCAAAAGGCCTTTGTTGTAGTTCACTTCCTTTTGTCACCTTCTGTAGTTTCTAACAATCATAAAATATCCACAAGCGTGGACTAGTGTAGAGAATTAAGGAGGTTTAGATAATTTGCAAGCTGATTGCGTAGCCCTTGAAGCATGACTTGATTAAAGATACTTTAAGCCTTTCAATGCCGATTTTCTTTTAGCTCTCTCTTCCACAGATTCGATTGAACAGACTATTGACCATCGATACAGATTTGTTGGAGCAACAAGACATTGACCTGAGCCCTGATTTGGCAGCTACTTATGGTCCAACAGAAGAAGCTGCCCAAAAAGTTAAACACTATTATCGCTTTTGGATCCTGCCCCAGCTGTGGATCGGCATTAACTTTGACAGACTCACACTTTTGTCCCTGTTTGATAGGTGAGAATATAGTGTGATATTAAAGATATATGCAGATTTTATTTTTAAATTGAAATGTATTAAATTACCCATTGAGTATTTGACTTGGTTTCCATGTTGGAAGGTGTTTTCTATTTTGGTTCTCTTGAGATAAAATTTAAGTTAGTAAGGCTCCCAAACATTGACTCTCCTGAATCCATTAAAAGCTTTTTTTGTGGCAATTTTAATATGTTTATTTAAAAAAATGCTTTTATCATTAAGAATCATGCAACTGTACTTAAAAGCCAGAGAATTTGAGGTGTTAATGACCATAAGGTTATATGTAATATGACTCTAACTATAAAAGGTATAATAGTAAACAGTATTAGTCAATTATGAACTTGGTGACCAACTGCTGCTTCTAGTTGACATGGAGTAACAAAGACTGGGTTTACTCTTCTACCTGAAACAATGAAAAACATAAAATGCATGAAACAGTGGTTTTCAAGACACTGGAAATAAGACAGAAAAGGACCGTGATTCCTGAGAAATGGGAAGCAAATTATGTGAGCCCACCTTACTGCCTTAAGAGAGTCCCCAGGCTGTGGTACTTAAGTAGAGTCCAGCAGACTTCCTGAGTTGAGGAGGTGGAGCTCAGAGTCCAGGGAGACTAGAGCAGCTCAAGTCTGTAGGATAGAACATCAGAGAGAGGATTGCTGCTCAGAGAGATAACCTCAGAGACTTTTCGTGGGTCTCCTCAACTGTTCAGCAGAGTATTGGTAAGAGAATGTATATGAGGAAGCCAGGGTCAGAACGATGTGAAAGAAACAGAGGGACAGTGCCTGGCACACAGGGCTGGGGATAGTGCCTATCCCCACCCACCATAATAATTAATACTTTATGATGCATTGTGTAGGGTACTCAGGAATGTCTTGCCTTAGAAGTGCGGAGTAATTAGCCCCAGCATGAGCACTGCTCCAGACCCACCTAGCAAGTCATAAAAGCAAGACCTGAAAGGATCAAACTGTTCCCAAGTAGCATAACAAAGCTCAACAAGATTTGTAGAAATCCAGAAATTCTCACCACATAAAAAGTTAAAATTCACAATATCTGGCATCCAGTCAGAGACTACCAAGCATACAAAGAAATGACGAAATGTGATTTATAATGAGGGAAGTAAGGAAACCCACCTGTAACTGCCACTGATATTAGAATTAGCAAAGACATTAAACAGTTATAAGTGTACTTCGCATGTTAATAAAAATTAAGTAGAGATATGGAAGATATGAAAAAAAAAGACCCAAGTCACACTTAGAGATGAAAACTAAAACGTCTGAGATGAAAAATACAATGGATGAGATTAATGGTAGATTAGACATTACAGAAGAAAATGTAAGTGAAGCTGACAGCATGGTAGTAGAAACTATTGAAAATGAAACAAAGAAAAAAGAATCATTCTCTTACTCCCATCCCCCAATGAAAAGAATATACAAAATGAAAGTAAACCAAGGGAGACAGGAAGAGAGAAAAAATTTTGAGGAAGTAATGGTGGAAAGCTTTCTAAATTTGATGAAAACTACAAATGTACACATTGAAGAATCTCCATGAACCTCAAGTACAAGAAACATGAAAAAAACTATACTAAGGCACATAATTGTTCAAAACCAGTGATAAAATCTTAAAAACTGCAAGAGAAAAAAAGATGTAGTTTGTACAGAGGAGCAAGAATAAGGAAGACATCAGATTTATTGTTGGAAAAAATACAAATGAGGAGATGATGGAGCAGCATTTTTAAAGTATTGAAAGGAGAAAAAGACTCAACCTGGACTTCTGTAGCCAACAAAACCGCAAAAACCAAGATGAAATAAAGACATTTTTGGACTAGGAAAAACCGAAAGAATTTTTTTCAAGCAGACCCACACTACAGAATATATTACAGGATGTCTTTCAAGCAGAAGGATAGTAATACCAACTGGAAATATGGACCTACCCAAAGAAATAGAAGATCACTGTAAATGGTAAGTAACTACATGAATAAATATATTAAAATTTTTCTTCCTAATTAAATTTCTTTGAGACATAATTGGATGTTTAAACAAAAATAATAATGGGGCTTCCCTGGTGGCACAGTGGTTGAGAGTCCGCCTGCTGATGCAGGGGACACGGGTTCGTGCCCTGGTCCAGGAAGATCCCACATGCCGTGGAGCAGCTAGGCCCGTGAGCCATGGCCGCTGAGCCTGCGTGTCCGGAGCCTGTGCTCCGCAACGGGAGAGGCCACAACAGTGAGATGCCGGCATACAGCAAAAAAATTTTAAAATAATAATGATAATAATAATGATGATGTATTGTGTGATTTATAAGATAAGTAAAAGTAAAATTCATGACAATAATAGCGTAAAGGACAGGAAGGGGCATATAAGAGTATACTACTATAAGTTTCTTATACTGTATATGAATTAAATATAAGTTGCTTATACTGTATGTATACTTATACTATGTCACTTGAAGTAGACTGTCATAAAATGTATACTAAAGCAACTACTAAAGTAACAAAAGAAAGTTATAACTAGTAAGTTAAAAAAACAAAGGAGATAAAAGAGATTCATAAAAATTACTCTCTTAATCTAAAATAAGGCGGAAAAGGAAAGAGATCAAAAACAGATTGACAGAAGATAAATGACAGTATGATAGTTGGAAAAGTCAGAAATTGTCAAATTGGAGAAAAAAAGCAAGACTCAATTCTTTGCTGCCTACAAGAAATGCACTTTAAATATAAAAGCAGAAAAGATATACCATGCTAACACTAATCACAGTAAAGCTAGAGTGGCTGAATTAATGTCAGACAAAGTAGATTTCAAAGCAAAGAATATTACCAAGGTAAAAGGAGGTCATTTTATAATGATAAATGGTCAATTAATGCATAGGATTTAACCATCCTAAATGTTTCTACATCTCAAACAGTGCTTTGAAGGAAAAGCTGATAGAAATAGGAGAAATGGATAAATTCACAATTATAGTTGAATTCAACACACCTCTCTCAATAATTGATAGAACAAGTATGTAGAAAATCAACAAAGATATAATTGTCAGCCAACCTAAGTTGATTGACATTTATGGAACACTCCACTCATAACCACAGAATACACATTCTTTTATGTGCACACAAAACATTTACCAAGATAGACCATATTCTGGGCCATAATATAAGGATCAAATTTAGAAGGATTTGAGTCCTATATAGTGTGTTCCTTGACCACGGAGTTAATTATAAATCAGTAACAAAAGAGCCTTGGAAAATCCCTAAATATTTGAAAGCTAAATACATCTAAATAACTCATAGATCAAAGGACAAATCAAGAGGGAGATTAGAAAATATTTTGAACTAAATAAAAGTGAAACACAATCAGAATTTTTGTGATGCCACTAACACAGTACTTAGAAGAATTTATAGCACTGAATAAGAAGAAAAGTCAATTCAATGACTTCACCTTCCCCCTTAGGAAACTAGAAAAAGAAGAGCACATTAAGCCTAAGAAAGCAGAAGAAAGAAAATCATAAAGAACAAAGCAGAAATCAGTGAGGACACAGAAGACAGTAGAGAAAAATCAAGGGAACCAAAAAGCTCCATTAAAGTAATATACTTTAGCCAGGCTGATCAGGACAAAAAAAAAAAGTTACAGATTACCAATATCAGGAATGTGAGCTAGGATATCACTACAGATTCTACAGGTAATAAATGGATAATAAAATATTTTGAGCAGCTGTATGTAAATAAATTTGACAGTGGACAAATTTCTTGAGAGATAAAAATTATCAAAGTTCTGAAAGAAATACAATATCCTAATGTTCCTGTATCTATTAAATAAATGGGCATTGTAGTTAAACACCTTCCCATAAAGAAAATTCCAGGCCTAGATAGTGCCAAAATAATATCCCGAATCAGTGAAGTGGAGAAAGGATAAGCTTTTCAACAAGTGGTGCTAGAAACATTGGATTTCCATATGCAAAAAAAAAAGAAGAAAAGAAAAAGAAAGAATTTGTTTTATTACCTTGCATCATATTACAAAAATTAACTCAGAGTGGATCATAGGCCTAAATGTGAAATCTAAAACATAAACTTCAGAAAAAAGCAAAACGTAGGAGAAAAGATTTGTGACCCTGGATTAGGCAAAATTGCACAGATGTGACATCAAACACAGATCAATGAAAAAACAAATTGATAAATTGGATTCATAAAAATTAAAAACTAACAAAAGCCGAAGGGAGAGCATGTGTTCAGTGACAAGCGACATGGACAGAATATAGTGTAACAGGGCTGACAGGGATCATTGGATTCGGCAAATCTGGAATTCCACAACTGCCATATAAGAACAAATGAAAATACCAGTGTTTCATTTATTGATTTGAAATTACTATTGAACTTGTTTTAATCTGGGAGAACTATCAAGTGAAATAGTACAGAGATGTTTGTGAATTTTATTTTTTAGGTCAATTGATTATAAATTGGGCATTGATGTAATATAAAGAAATAAAAATCTTTTTATGATTATGAAAACAATTCTTTATTAAATATGTCGAAAGATTTTAAGACAGAGGCCAGCCCAAATCCTTCCACCCAGAGAGAACCATTATTAGTAGTACCAATTGATATATTGTCTTTTTAAACCTGTATATATATGTTTCTTAAGTAATAGAACTTGTATCTTCGTATACAGTTTTGTGTCCTCCTTTCTTTGTATAGCAAATGTACTGAGCATGTTCCTGTGTCAGTAAATATTCTTTAAAATCAAGAGTTTTAGCACATACTTAACATTTTGTGAATCAGATATCCCCAAGAAGTAAGATAGATTCTTATTTTTTGGCATGATTTATAAAAGTCATCTTCAGGGACTTCCTTGGCAGTCCAGTGGTTAAGACTCCACTCTTCCAATGCAGGGGGTGCAGGTTTGATCTCTGGTCCGAGAACTAAGATCCGATATGCTGTGCAGTGCAGCCAAAAAATAAAATAAATTAAAAAAAAATTATCTTCATTGCTGTATGTAGTATGTTGAACATCGTACTGCTTCTTTTACAGTGTCAGTTTAGTAAAATATAGAATTGTCTGAGTAACTTTGATAGAGGCAGCATTGATGGTCTATCACCGCCTTCATTCTCAACATATGTAAGAGCCTGTGTTTAAGTAATTTTAGTAAGATTTCTGATTATTTCAGATGATTTAGACATGGGAAATGAAACCACTTGGTATCAAAATTTGGTTACGAACTTTGTCATATAAATGTTTCCAATTTAATTTTCTAGAAACTCTTTTGAGATTTTGTTTTTCGAACTTGTTTCTTTGTATATTTCCTTTATTTGCCATTCAGGTTGTTCAGTTATTTGGCAACAAACTTGACAGAGAAGCAGATGATAAGAAGAGTAAAGTTATAACATAGAAATTGAAACTGTATTATGTATTATAATAAGAAATTCACAATCCACTGTAGCATGCTTTATTTGCACATAAGGATGTGTGCCAGTTTTCTATCTAAACTGAACATACTTTTTCAGTATGATCCAAAACCTTGTTCAAACCCAGTACTAAAAAGAAATCTTAACAAGCATAGTATGAACTTCATATTGATGTCTTCCCTTTTTGCACTCTGATTAATTTCTTGTAATGATGATATACTTACTCATAAATTTTTCTGTCTACAGGAATCGTGAGATCCTGGAAAATGTGTTAGCTGTCATCCTGGCTATTCTTGTGGCTTTTTTGGGATCTATTCTTCTCATACAAGGCTTCTTCAGAGATATCTGGGTCTTCCAGTTCTGCCTGGTGATAGCCAGCTGTCAATATTCACTACTTAAGGTACCAGCATCTCCCTTCTCTTCAGACTTTAGCATCATAGTTACGTTAAAAAGCAGAAGGTTTTGTATCACTCATTGAATTATAGTAAGAATATAAATTTTAGATTTATTTTCCTTGGACGTTTACGTTAAGATTGGGAAAGGAACAAAAGGGACATGTAAACTTTAAAAAATAATGACATATGAATGAAGCTTCCTAAAAACGTTTTTTGTATTAAAATAAAAAAATAAGAATTCGAGTTCTTTTTTTCTCTCTCTCTTTTTCTTTTCTTTTTTTTTGGCCATGCCACATGGCTTGCTGGATCTTAGTTCCCCAACCAGGGTTATAACCCAGACCCTGGCAATGAAAGTGTCAGGTCCTAACCACTGGACTGCTAGGGAATTCCCAAGAATTCGAGTTCTTGAAATTCATTTGATAAATTAAAATAAAATGAAACTGTCCTACTCTCATATTTTAAGTCTTCTATTATATAGGTGAAATTTATTAAGATCCATCATTGGTAGATAGAATAATGTCAAAACTAGCATATACATTCTTTGTGGACACAGAGAGCAGAAGATCGGTGTCCCTTTGCTTTTGTTTAAATAGTGGTTCTAAAATACTAAATGTTATCAATTTTAAGCTTTCCATAAATGGGAGAATCAAATACCAAATTTTTCACTTTTCCATGCCATATCAGTGTGCACTGGTAACATGGACTGTTTTCTTTCCTTTCTTAGCCAGTACTGGTTATTTGCCTGATACATACTAACATGCAGAACCCTCTCCCATCCTGAAAACTATTTGATTAGTTCTGTTTATACCATCAGCTATCCTTTCTCTTTTCTCTCTCCATTTATAGACAACTGGAATAAACCACCTTTGTCAACTGCTCCATTTCTTCAAGATCCATCCATACTCTTTTCCTCGTTACATTATTGAAATTACAGTCTTTGTGGGCTAATAATCTCTAATTGCCAAATCTATGTTCTTAGTCTTCATTCTCTGTGAGTGCTGCATCATTTAAATACCTGTGAATACTTTCTTCCATTTTTATGTTTTCCTCATTGCCGATCTGTTACTTTATACTACCCTCATGATTATGCTACTTTGCAAGTAACTTTATTTTCCTTTGTTGATGCCTCTTTGTTCTTTTGACTACCACTTAATTTACAAGAACTCTCTAGGGTTTTATTTGGTCCTCTTTTCAGTTTGTAATTCTTTGCCAGTGAAGTCATCCTCTTTTATTACTTTGTTGCCCCTGTATATGAATTATGTCCAGATTTATGGCACAGTCTTCACCTTTCTTGTAAGCTGTAGTCCTATATATCTAACAGGCAGCTGGGCACATTCTGAAAATGGCACATCATCATCTTCTGATATTTTCCTTTCCCAGTTCCTTTGCTTTTTCTTTTTTTTAACACCTTTTTTGGAGTATAATTCCTTTACAGTGTTGTGTTAGTTTCTACTGTATAACAAAGTGACTCAGCTATACGCGTATGTACATACCCTCCCTTGTGCGTCTCCCTCCCATCCTCCTTATGCCACCCCTCTAGGTGGTCGCAAAGCACCAAGCTGATCTCCCTGTGCCATGCAGCTGCTTCCCACTAGATATCTATTTTATGTTTGGTAGTGTATATATGTCCATGCCACTCTCTGACTTCATCCCAGCTTACCCTTCCCCCTCCTCGTGTCCTCAAGTCCATTCTCTACATCTGCGTCTTTATTCCTGTCCTGTCCCTAGGTTCTTCAGAACCGATCTTTTTTTTTTTTTTTTTTTTACATTCCATGTATATGTGTTAGCATATGATATTTGTTTTTCTCTCTGACTTACTTCACTCTGTATGACAGACTCTAGGTCCATCCACCTCACTACAAATAACTCAATTTTGTTTCTTTTTATGGCTGAGTAATATTCCATTGTATATATGTGCCACATCTTCTTTATCCATTCATCTGTTGATGGACACTTAGGTTGCTTCCATGTCCTGGCTATTGTAAATAGTGCTGCAATGAACATTGTGGCACATGACTCTTTTTGAATTATGGTTTTCTCAGGGTATAGGCCTAGTAGTGGTATTGCTGGGTCATATGGTAGTTCTATGTTTAGTTTTTTAAGGAACTTCCATACTGTTCTCCATAGTGGCTATATCAATTTACATTCCCACCAACAGTGCAGGAGGGTTCCCTTTTCTCCACACCCTCTCCAGCATTTATTGTTTGTAGATTTTTTGATGTTGGCCGTTCTGACTGGTGTGAGGTGATAAACTCATCGTAGTTTTGATTTGCATTTCTCTAATGATTAGTGATGTTGAGCATCTTTTCATGTGTTTGTTGGCAATCTGTATATCTTCTTTGGAGAAATGTCTATTTAGGTCTTCTGCCCATTTTTGGATTGGATTGTTTGTTTTTTTGATATTGAGCTGCATGAGCTGCTTGTATATTTTGGAGATTAATCCTTTGCATTTGCATCGTTTGCAAATATTTTCTCCCATTCTGAAGGTTGTCTTTTCATCTTGTTTATGGTTCCCTTTGCTGTACAAAAGCTTTGAAGTTTCATTAGGTCCCATTTGTTTATTTTTGTTTTTATTTCCATTTCTCTAGGAGGTGGGTCAAAAAGGATCTTGCTGTGATTTATGTCATAGAGTGTTCTGCCTATGTTTTCCTCTAAGAGTTTTATGGTGTCTGGCCTTACATTTAGGTCTTTAATCCATTTTGAGTTTATTTTTGTGTATGGTGTTAAGGAGTGTTCTAATTTCATTCTTTTACATGTAGCTGTCCAGTTTTCTCAGCACCACTTACTGAAGAGGCTGTCTTTTCTCCATTGTATACTCTTGCCTCCTTTATCAAAGATAAGGTGACCATATGTACGTGGGTTTATCTCCAGGCTTTCTTTCCTGTTCCATTGATCTACGTTTCTGTTTTTGTGCCAGTACCATACTGTCTTGATCACTGTGGCTTTGTAGTATAGTCTGAAGTCAGGGAGCCTGATTCCTCCAGCTCCATTTTTCTTTCTCAAGATTATTTTGGCTATTCAGTCTTTTGTGTTTCCATAAAAATTGTGAATTTTTTTGTTCTAGTCCTGTGAAAATGACATTGGTAGTTTGATAGGGATTGCATTGAATCTGTAGATTGCTTTGGGTAGTATAGTCATTTTCACAATGTTGATTCTTCCAATCCAAGAACATAGTATACCTCTCCATCTGTTTGAATCGTCTTTCCTTTCTTTTATCAGTGCCTTATAGTTTTCTGTTAGGATTTTCTTTGTGTAGTATGTCATCTGCAAACAGTGACAGTTTTACTTCTTCTTTTCCGATTTGGATTCCTTTTATTTGTTTTTATTCTCTGATTGCTGTCGCTAAGACTTCCAAAACTATGTTGAATAATAGTGGTGAGAATGGGCAACCTTGTCTTGTTCCTGATCTTAGAGGAGATGGTTTCGGTTTTTCACCATTGAGAACGTTGTCGGCTGTGGTTTTGTCACATATGGCCTTTTATTATATTGAGATAGGTTCCCTCAAGGCCTACTTTCTGGAGAATTTTTATCATAAATGGGTGTTGAATTTTGTCAGTAGCTTTTTCTGCATCTATTGAGATGATCATATGGTTTTTATCCTTCCATTTGTTAATATGGTGTATCACATTGATACGCATATACTGAAGAATCCTTGCATTCCTGCAAAAACCCCACTTGATTATGGTGTATGGTCCTTTTAATGTGCTGTTGGATTCTGTTTGCTAGTATTTTGCTGAGGATCTTTGTATCTGTGTTCATCAGAGATATTAGCCTGTAGTTTTCTTTTTTTGTGACATCTTTGTCTGGTTTTGGTATCAGGGTAATGGTGGCCTCATAAAATGAGTTTGGGAGTGTTCCTCCCTCTGCTATATTTTGGAAGAATTTGAGAAGGATAGGTGTTAGCTCTTCTCTAAATGTTTGATAGAATTCGCCTGTGAAGCCATCTGGTCCTGCGCTTTTGTTTGTTGGAAGATTTTTTTTTTTTTTTTTTTTTTTGCTGTACGCGGGCGTTTCACTGTTGTGGCCTCTCGCGTAGCGGAGCACAGGCTCCGGACACGCAGGCTCAGCGGCCATGGCTCACGGGCCCAGCCGCTCCGTGGCATGTGGGATCTTCCCGGACCGGGGCACGAACCGTGTCCCCTTCATCGGCAGGCGGACTCTCAACCACTGCGCCACCAGGGAAGCCCTGTTGGAAGATTTTTAATCACAGTTTCAATTTCAGTGCTTGTGATTGGTCTGTTTATATTTTCGATTTCTTCCTGGTTCAGTCTTGGAAAATTGTGCTTTTCTAAGAATTTGTCCATTTCTTCCAGGTTGTCCATTTTATTGGCATAGAGTTGTTTGTAGTAATCTCTCATGATCCTTTGTATTTCTGCGGTGTCAGTTGTTACTTCTCCTGTTTCATTTCAAATTCTATTGATTTGAGTCTTCTGCCTTTTTTTCTTGTTGAGTCTGGCTAATGGTTTACCAATTTTGTTTATCTTTTCAACAAACCAGCTTTTAGTTTTATTGATCTTTGCTATTGTTTCCTTCATTTCTTTTCCATTTATTTCTCATCTGATCTTTATGATTTCTTTCCTTCTGCTAAATTTGGAGTGTTTTTGTTCTTTCTGTAATTGCTTCAGGTGTAAGGTTAGGTTGTTTGAGGTGTTTCTTGTTTCTTGAGGTAGGATTGTATTGCTATAAACTTTCCTCTTAGAACTGCTTTTGCTGCATTCCATAGGTTTTGGGTCATCATGTTTTCATTGTCACTTGTTCCTAGGTATGTTTTGATTTCCTCTTTGATTTCTTCAGTGATCTCTTGGTTATTTAGTGCTGTATTGTTTAGCCTCCACCTGTTTGTGTTTTTTACAGTTTTTTTCCTGTAATTGATATCTAGTCTCATAACATTGTGGTTGGAAAAGATACTTGATATAATTTCAATTTTTTAAATTTACCAAGGCTTGATTTGTGATCCAAGATATGGTCTATCCTGGAGAATGTTCTGTGAGCACTTGAGAAGAAAGTGTATTCTGTTGTTTCTTTGGATCGAGTGTCCTATAAATATCAGTTAAGTCCATCTTGTTTAATGTGTCATTTAAAGCCTGTGTTTCGTTATTTATTTTCGTTTTGGATGATCTGGCCATTGGTGAAAGTGGGGTGTTAAAGTCTCCTCCAATTATTGTGTTACTGTCAATTTTTCCTTTTATAGCTGTTAGCATTTGCCTTATGTATTGCGGTGCTCCTATGTTGGATGCCTAAATATTTACACTTGTTATATCTTCTCCTTTGATTGATCCCTTGATCATTATGTAGTGTCCTTCTTTGTCTCTTGTAATAGTCCTTATTTTAAAGTCTGTTTTTTCTGAAATGGGAATTGCTGCTCCAGCTTTGTTTTGATTTCCATTTGCATGGAATATCTTTTTCCATCCCCTCACTTTCAGTCTGTATGTGTCCCTAGGTCTGAAGTGAGTCTCTTGTAGACAGCATATATACGGGTCTTGTTTTTGTATCCATTCAGCCAGGCTATGTCTTTGGAGCATTTAATTCATTTATATTTAAGGTAATTACCAATATGTATGTTCCTATTATCATTTTCTTAATTGTTTTGGGTTTGTTTTTGTAGGTCTTTTCCTTCTGTTGTTTTCCTGCCTAGAGAAGTTCCTTTAGCATTTGTTGTAAAGCTGGTTTGGTGGTGCTGAATTCTCTTAACTTTTGCTTACCTGTAAAGGATTTAATTTCTCAAACGAGTCTGAATGAGACCCTTCCTGGGTAGAGTAATCTTGGTTGTAGGTTTTTCCCTCTCATCACTTTAAATATGTCTTGCCACTTCCTTCTGGCTTGCAGAGTTTCTGCTGAAAAATCAGCTGTTGACCTTATGGGGATTCCCTTGTATGTTTTTTGTTGTTTTTCCCTTGCTGCTTTAATATTATTTCTTTGTATTTAATTTTTGATAGTTTGATTAATATGTGTCTCAGCGTGTTTCTCTTTGGGTTTATCCTGTATGGCACTCTCCTTGTTTCCTGGACTTGATTGACTATTTCCTTTCCCATGTTATGGAAATTTTCAACTATAATCTCTTCACATATTTTCTCAGATGCTTTCTTTTTCTCCTCTTCTTCTAGGGCCCCTATAATGTGAATGTTCGTGCGTTTAATGCTGTCCCAGAGGTCTCTGAGACTGTCCTCAGTTCTTTTCCTTCTTTTTTCTTTATTCTGCTTCCTGGAAGTTATTTCCACCATTTTATCTACCCGCTCACTTATCCATTCTTCTGCCTCAGTTATTCTCCTATTGATTCCTTCTAGAGTATTTTAAATTTCAGTTATTGTGTTTTTCATCACTGTTTGTTTGCTCTTTAGTTCTTCTAGATCCTTGTTAAATGTTTCTTGTATTTTCTCCATTCTGTTTCCAAGATTTTGGATCATCTTTACTATCATTACTCTTAATTCTTTTTCAAGTAGATTGCCTATTTCATATTCATTTATTTGGTCTTGTAGGTTTTTACCTTGCTCCTTCATCTGTAACATATTTTTTTGCTTTTTTTTGTTGTTGTTGGGTGGTGCTGTATTCCTGTCTTACTGGTTGTTTGGCCTGAGACATCCAGCACTGGAGTTTGCAGGCAGTTGGATAGAGCTGCGTCTTGGTGCTGAGATGAGTACCTCCGGGAGACCTCACTCCGATTGATATTCCCTGGGGTCTGAGGTTCTCTGTTAGTGTGGTTTGGACTCAGAGCTCCCACCACAAGAGCTTGGGCCCAACGTTTGGCCTGGGAGCCAAGATCCCGCAAAATTCGTGGCGTGGTTAAAAAAAGAGATAAAAAACAGGAAGAAAGAAAGAAAAAAAAAGGAGCAGTACAATATCAAAGAATAAAAAACAAAATAAAATTAGAAAGTTAAAAAATATTAGGAAAAGTACAAGTATAATTGAAACAGCTGCAACAGGGTAAAATAAAACCACAGCAGAAAAAAAAGGGTGGAGGAAACAAGCCAAAAGGAGAGATCACTAACAAAGGATAAAGAATAAAATAAAATTAGGAAAATAAAAGATTTATTAGGAAAAGTTAAAAAATCAACAACAATGAATCAACAAGGTAAAACAGAACCCTAATCTAAAAGAGGAAAAAAGAAAAGAAAAAAAAAAGCCTTGGGGGTGGAGTTTAGTTGGGGGGTGGAACTTAGGCAGGGGTTGGGTTTAGGGTGGGGTGTGACATAGGCGGTTGAGGGGGTTGATGTTTGAGCGTGGGGCGGGGCCTAGGCAGGGTGACGTTCAGGTGTGGGGCGGAGCCGCTGCTTAGCACCTGGCAGAAGGGGAGAGGCAGCATGTGGAAAGGACAGCTTCTGGAGAGTGGAGTTCCGGAGTTTGGAGGTAGGGCCCTGAGTGAGCGTGTGTGGGTGGGGTTTAGGCCCAGCTCGATGGAGGGGGTCTCCGAGTGTAGGGGTGGGGCACTGGGTGGGGGTGTAGGGGTGGGGCTTGGGCTCTGAATGGCAGGAGGGAGTCTCTGAGGGCAGAGGATTAGGTCCTGGAGCCCAACAGGCTTCCCAGTGCCTAAGTGGACAGGGAAAGCACTGGCCCCATTCCTTTCTGTTCCTTCATGCATCTCCCCCACCATCTCTCCCAGGGTCTCCCCCGTTGCTGCTGGACCCCTAACTGTGGGTGTGTCCTGCTGGGTGTAGGAACTCCTTCCCTCCCCCAGCCACCCCTCAGGGGTGCCAGTCCCAGAGGTCTGGCCTTTACTTTTGCTCCCCCTTCCCTCCCTCCCACTCCCTCAGGACCCGCATGGCTGGAGGGGGCCTAGGTGGGCAGAGGATCAGGCCCGGCATCTCAACAGGTTTCTGGGGGTCCAAGTGGGCAGGAGAAAGCTGGCCATGCTCGCTTTTGATCCTCTGCCTTCCCAGTGGTTCCCCAGTTTCCCCCTTTGGGCCTGGGATCCCTTCCCCTCCCCCAGCCACCCCTCAGGGGTGCCAGCCCCACCCTACCTCTACTTCTTCTCCCCCTTCACTCCCTCCACGTGCCATGTCCTACCCGGTCACTTGGGGTTCCTTCCGTCCCCTGAGGTGCCCTCCCCCACGGGTGCCTGGCAGGTGCCCAGTTGTGAGGAGACGAGAATTCCGCTTCCTCCTAGTATGCCATCTTGACTCTGCTCCAGTTCCTTTGCTTTTGATAGTTGTATACTAACCCAGATCTTAGAGCCTCTGCTCCTTCTTCTTTACCTCTAACGACAGTGACTAAGTCCCTCTGATTAAATTTGGTGATTCTGTGTTACAATTTCTGGCCTTTCTTGCTTTTCATTTCAGTTCCCCTTAATCCATCCCTTTATTGCCCTAAGCCATTTAAACTCATTCCCTGGATCCAATGTCCCTTATCCTGTTAATTTTGTCCACTGCCTAATATGGTTAGATATGGAAAAGGCAAAGGATGACTGAGATTTTTTAAACTATTTCAGATTTTTAAAATCTAGTTGACTAGAAGAATAGTAATATCATAAACAGAAATAAGAAAGACGGGAATAGAGCTTTAGGAAGATAGATGTTCGAATTGAAAGAGTTTAAAGATTGTCTGGTGTCATATCCAGCCAAGGGCCACATGCCAAACTCAGTGAGTTTAGTCCAATGTAGAATTGTAGGATGGTGATAGACCATCTTAGTGAAACTGTTTGGTATGCTATTGAAAATGAACAGCAACTTTGGAGAAAAGTCATGATTTGGGAGGTAGCTGCACTATACATTTTGAACATTTTTATGGAAAGTTGTTAAAGTCTCTTAGAAGGATACAGCTTAACTAATTTGATGAGTTTGATGTGAAAATGCAGAGAATATATTTAACACCACTACCATTGAATTGTTTAGTAAGTTTGGAATTTGTGGGCAGAACTGGAATCCTTCTTTTAAGCTAACCCATATTTTGTGCATTTCCTGAATGGAGTGATGTTGCCGTGAGAAAGCATTCTACCTTAACTGTACTTGGGTGTTGTGATGAGCCAAGTAGTGGGATGGATCTGTCTGCTATATGCCACTTCAGAAACATTAAGCTAGATGCAGATTATTAATTAATCATAGTCAGTATAAGAGTTAGGAAAGATTTGAAATATTTTAATATCAGTGACCTCAGTATCTGGAGCTGATGTTTTGTCTTCTGTTGATGTTTCAACAGAATTAATGTAGGTCATTTCTTAGCTATGGGATATTTACTTGAAATTATTTCAGGCATTTTGGAAGTTAATGTAAAATTACCAGGTCTTCAGTAGTATAATCTGTCTGTTTCTTTTTTAGAGTGTTCAACCAGATTCTTCTTCTCCCAGACATGTAAGTCACTCTAATACACCTGTAACTTGTGTTTCCTTAACATTCCTCAAAGCCTTTTTTTGGTCATATGTCAGACTGAACTAAGATTTATGTTATTATTTTCTCACTGGCAATAGAAAGTCCCTGATAGTGCATTTGTTCTTTTTAGCCTCCTTTAATCTAGAGCAGTTCCTCAGTATTTGTCTCACACAATATTGACATTTTTAATGGGTACAGGCCAGTAATTTTGTAGACAGACGATCTTCAATTTGACTTTGTCTGATATTTCTTCTTTATTAGATACAGGCTGTGCTTTTTTGGTAGGAATATTACAAAAATGCTGTGTTCTTCGTAACTCATCATATCCAGACGCACATAGTGTCAATTTATGCTTTTACTGGTGATGTTAACTTTGATTTTTTGGCTAAGGGTAGTGTATGCAGTGTTTTTGAAACACTGCAACGTTAACATTTTGGGCTGGATAATTCTTTGTTGAAAGTTGGGGGTGGGGAGGATCTGTCCTGTGCATTGTAGGCTGTTTAGCATTATCTCTGACTTCTACCCATTAGATGCCAATAGCACCCTCACCCCAACTGTGACAACCACAATGTTTTCAGACATTGCCATATGTTCCCTGGGGGGCAGAATCCCCTCCCACTCCCTTGAGAACCAATACGCTACTGAAATGTTACCATTTTTCTCTTGTAGTTAATAAGTATATCATAGGAGATACTTTGAGATTGTGTATATGTCCTGTTGCCCTGCAAACCTCCGCCCAGTTGTTTTTAGTATCTATTGATGTTTCTTGCCTGAATCAGTTATCATTTGATGGTTGCCAAATAGTGATTTTTTTAGCTCCATCAGACCTTCTACATTTATAAGTTGACTTTTTACTGTAAGAACTTTCCCTTTTTGTTTGTATTGGTGTGGATTCATGGATTCTTATTTTATTAAATGGACAGTAATGTTACTATCATTATTTTGATGCTCAAATTGTTCCTGATTTGGCCATTGGGAGCCCATCAAACTGCCTTCTGTGTCCTTTTGACATACCTTCATCATTTTAAAAGTACTTTCTTCCTTTTGGGCACAATTATTTGTTCCAAGCTCATCTTATACTTTCCCGACCCTAGCCTGAAACCAGCCTTTTCTCTGTGGATCCTTAGTTCTTTTTAGTGGAGAATGTTATTTATAAACTAAGAGCTGGATGTTAGTAATCTTTATTACTAGAATGTCATTGCTTCTAGGTCCTCTCAGTGGATAAAGCTAGAAAAATACATGTATACACTTAACACACACATACATGTATATACACACATTTATTCTTATACCTATCTATTTATATGCATATTAAAAATACTGAGTTCATACTGATACTTAATTTCAATCAGTTATCGTGGGGTTTATTCTGTTCTTCCTCCTATCCTTATTTGTAATTCCCTTCTGCCACAGTCAGAAACCTGACCTCCATATGGAAGCATTTTGAATCCTTAGAATATAAGCCATCAAAGATCTCAGTAGCTAGTTGTGACACTTCAAATTAAATAAACTGACTTCTTTTTTAATATCATTTTCAGGGTCATAATCGTATCATTGCCTACAGTAGACCAGTTTATTTCTGTTTGTGTTGTGGTCTTATTTGGCTCTTGGATTATGGTAGTAGAAACCTTACTACAACCAAGTTCAAATTATACGGAATAACTTTCACCAATCCGCTGGTGCTTGTATCAGCCAGGGATTTAGTTATAGGTGAGTCATCTTTAAAGTATCTTAGATCTTAATGTTAATTAATTTGTATACAAACCATTCACTGATAAATAGATCAATTATATAGATAAAAATAGTTTTACTGGGTTTATTTTGCTGTTTATTGCCATCCTCTCAGTGAGGAACAAAACTATAGGGCTGTTAGGAATGAAAAAAGCTAATGATGAACAAATATTATGGTAATTCTTCTGTTGTTGAAGCAGGTGGAATGAAAGATTTCCTTTGGATCTCAGGTTCCTATTATGTGAAAACAGTTGAATTAATTTTAAAAGCTGTTGTTTATAGTTGGAAAGATTATTTAATATTCAGGCAGTTATCTAGAGAGAAATAATTTAAAATGGTATATTTTAAGAAATTTGGTTTGTAGTTTTAAGCAACTTTAAGAAACTAGCTTAGTAATTTATATTAATTTTGGGTTTCTTTTTATCATTTATTTTATGATCTTAGATGAACAAAAGGATGGATGTGATATACTGTTCTTAACTTGCTTTTCTTTCCTTCTATAGTGTTTACACTCTGTTTCCCAATAGTATTTTTCATTGGTCTCCTGCCTCAGGTGAATACATTTGTAATGTACCTTTGTGAACAATTGGATATCCATATCTTTGGTGGTAATGGTGAGTACTTCTTTATAAAAATTACAGTTTACAGTATTACTTTTACAGATCACTAAGTAATAAACTGAACATTAAATTACTTTTCCAGTTTTTATTTTAGAATTATAATTAGAAAGAAAAAGGCACTTATTTAATAATTAAAGACTGAACAGGAATTAATTTGTAGATAGGAAATAATAGTCAAGGCTGCTACTTTAGGGAAAGATCCAGGGATAATGGAGTTGATTTGTAAGTGTTAAAATACTGTCATCTTAAAGTAAAAGTTATAGTGAGTTTACATGGAACCTGAATAGACTTAACGAAATATTTATAAAAGATCAAATAGATTGAGCTCTGATACATGGCATTATATTTAGATTTTGAACTAGTGTATGCATTTGATATTCTATATATTTGGTTTCAGAGCTTTATTTTATCTTTAGAATGGGAACACCAAAACCAGAATGCTTTTAGTAAAAGCATTTTACTGAATAAGATTTTTAGAAATATCTCTGTTTTTAGAGTAGGATATGTAGATATGAATTGATATACTTAGAAATGTATTCCCTGTTACATGTACATTTTATTTTCAAAATAAGTAAGACTATACCAAAATTAACCTGGAATAATGTTTCGCAGAACTTGAAAATAACACTTTGGGTAGCCACCATGGTTAAAATATACCCTTATTTATAAAGTTTAACCATCTAACATCTTATTGAAAGATGAGTGTACAACTATAGAAAAAAATATGAAAGGGAAAGAAATGACTGAACTTTATAGTTTATTTCTATTTATACATCACATTCACAGTCCACATCTTCCAAGTATATGCATTGAAATTATCTCTACTGATAAAATGTTGATATTATGGTTTAAATTTTAAATAGAAGCTAAGCTTCTTCTATGTCACTATGTATCTAGAGCATTTTTATTGTTTTGAAAATTTGAAGGAGTGTGAATTAAGACTGGGCTGGGCTTCAGCATAGCTTAATGGGTAGAAAACAATTTCAGTATTTAGGGGACTATTATAGGTGCTATATTAATCTAAATGCTATGCAGAAAGTTTAGTGTAGGTAATTTATAATAGTGGGCTTTGTCATAATTTACAAACTTGTGCAAGGTGTTAGGTTTTTAATATCTCCTAAAGAAAAATTTTTCTTGTAGAGTTCTTTTATGGTCGCCATATAAAATTACTATTAAAGTCTGTTATCTTAGCCATCCTCTATTCCTTATTATTAGTAATCCCATTAGCTCTATTTTTTGTTATTGTTAGCAGTTAGATCATTACTCTTTTGTGAGAATTGATTAACACATGGGAATATACATTTATTTCTGTGGGTAACACAAGTTCTGTTTACATAGACAGTCTACATAATACATTTCTAGCTTCTTTTCAGGCTCTGCAAGCTTCATTTTCCCATACTTCTATAAATAATAAGATATATTCTTGAAGCATAATATAGGTACAGTTTTTTTCTGCTGTAGATAAATGTTTATTACTTCCAAGGGGAATATATTTTACCTTGTATCAGAAATTGTTGATAGTAAACCTTTGTCATTTCAATTTTTTTTTATATTTATTTATTTTATTTTTGGCTGCGCTGGGTCTTCGTTGCTGCGCGCGGGCTTTCTCTAGTTGTGGTGAGCGGGGGCTACTTTTCGTTGTGGTGCGCGTGCTTCTCATTGCGGTGGCTTCTCTTGTTGTGGAGCATGGGCTCTAGGCACATGGGCTTCAGTAGTTATGGCACATGGGCTCAGTAGTTGTGGCTCGCGGGCTGTAGAGCGCAGGCTCAGTAGTTGTGGCACATGGGCTTAGTTGCTCCGTGGCATGTGGGGTCTTCCCGAACCAAGGCTCGAACCCGTGTCTGCTGCATTGGCAGGCGGAATCTTAACCACTGTGCCACCAGGAAAGTCCTCAAAATTTTTTGAAAGGATAGGATGAAGAAACTGAATTTTTATAAATCAAACAAGTAGATATTTAATTATAGTTAATAGCATACCATTTTAAATACTTTTCAGTGACCTTTTAAAGTATGTTTTCTCCATAAATGTTTATGAATGTTGATTTCATTTTCCCTTTCCTGTCTAGCCACTACAAGCCTGCTTGCAGCACTTTACAGTTTCATCTGTAGCATTGTGGCAGTAGCCTTACTATATGGATTGTGTTACGGCGCCTTAAAGGTGAGCAATACATGTAGTATGTTGTGTCTTTAAGGCTACTTTTCTATATGAAGATTGTTTTAAATTAACTAATGATTTTTTTCCTGGTGTCTCTTCAGTATTAATTTTCATGGTCTTCCTATGTTGAGCATTATTCTTATTCTCATTTAGTTTGAATTTGAAAGCAATTTCATAGTTAATCATTACTAAAGGAAAATCCTTTTCCATGTAGTAATCATAGATTAATATTAGAAACAGGTTAGTAAAAACTAGGCTGGTCTGGGATAGAGGTGGGGATAGTAATAACAGAATATGAAATTAATTTTAGGTTTCTACTTAAGAATATATGCAACTACTCTTCACATCAAGATTTTTTAAAACTTAGGAGAAGTTGTTCAAGGACTGCAATTTAAAATACAGTCTAGTAAAAATTAACGCACTGAAATTTAATGTCATTATTGGTTTAGAAGAATCTGGACGAGCCTTATTAGTTCCATTTTAAAACAATTGTCACCAAATTATAACTGTAAAAATTTTAGATTTCTCATAAAAAACTCTCAGCTCTTGGTATTTTATTTTTTTATGATTAATACAAGATAATCAGAGAACGATAAGGTTGAAAGGGCTATGAAAAGTGACTCATAGCATCCTTCCTTGCTTCACTTATTCAGTAGCATTTACTGTGCTTACTGTGTGCCTAGTTCTGCTTTTAATTTGCCTATATGTTAACTGTGATTAACAAGTCAGTCGATGCTCTTAATAGAGGGTGATGAAGGCTATGAAAACAGAGTGTTACAGGTATACGAATTAAGATATTACCCTATTCAGCCTAAAGGGATTAAAGATGATTTTCCTAGGGGGTGGTTTTTTAACCAAAATTTGAAGAACAATAGGAAATAGCTAGTTGAAACAAGGGATGAAGAGCCATGGAGTTGTAAAGAAAGTGTGTTATGTACAGGAAACAGCAAATAATTTGGAATTGCTGGAAATTTGGGTACATGAGGAAAGATGGCCTACAGTAAGGCTGGAAAGGTAAGCAACGGCTGGATTATGAAATATCTTTTATCCTGAACGTATTGGGTGGAGATGGAAGACCACCAAATATTCGAGGTAAGGCAAGGAAATGATCAGTGTTGCATTTTAGAAAGATTTCTTGGTCCCCAGTGTGAAGGAGACTGAAATATAAGCAGGAAGTATCAGAAGTAGGGGGACTCTTGTGCTGCCATCTTAATTATAAGGGACTTAATGAAAATTGGATTCAGTGAATATATTTGGGAACTCTGTGGATGAAAAGAGCCAGAGTAGGATCCAGGATGACTTCTGGGTAGGGGCTGGCTTGATATCTGGTTAGATAGTGATATTAATGCACATGATTGGAAATCTTTGAGTTTACTGGGGAAGGTGATTGTTTACATTTAGACACTTTTACTTGTTGGCATTAATGGGGTATCCAGAGATACATAGTGGGTAGTTATTTGCAGTAATGATGAAAAGATTTAGAATTCATCAACAAATTAAAGTATAAGAAAAAGACTGCTAGCCTGGGTTGGCAGGATGCAGATAGAACCCTGGGAAATGCCAATATTTAAGCAGTAGATGGAACAGAATCCAACAAAGGAAACTTCAGAGGCAATACAGTGTGAAAAAAAAATTATTGAATTTGGCAGTTAATAGGATATTGGTGACTTTAACAAAACAGCTTTTTTGGTGTTTCAGCTGAGGAAGCTAGATTAATATAAGTTTAGGTCTGAATAGATATTAAGGAAACATATTCTACTCTGTCTAGAGTATAGTCGGGAAACCTGTGCACATGATGAGGATTGTTTTTTGGGTTTTGTTTTTTAAAAAAGATCTGAGCCTTGATTGCATTTAAAATGGGAGATGGAAAATTGATCAGAGAGGGAGATACTTGATGACATTAAGCCCAGGAAGGAACTGGAGGTAATGAGATCCAAATACAAGCTTCTCCCAGCTACAGTACCTATAAACCATCCTGGTATAAAGGTTTTAGATCTATGTTTGGAGAACATGTTTTGGAAAGTGGGTCATTATTTGGAAGTTGCAGTCATAGAAGTTAATAATGCAGTAAGTTTTCTAATTTTCTAAAGGCCTATTTAACTATAATTATATAGCAGAAGAGCAGCAATTGTAAAACTGCCAACTAGAACCTTGTGTCCTAAGACAGGGAGGGAGATATGTTTTTTTTTCCTTCTTTCTTGGCCATGGCATTTACATTAGACTATTTTAGTTTTAGGCATTCCCCATTGTAATAGAATAAATGTGCAGATGTACTTATATAAATGAGCAAAGACTATGTGCAGAGATTTCATCATAGCAGTGTTTGTAACAGCAAAAACTGTAAACGACCTAGTATTTGTTGTTTGTGACTGTTTAAATCAAATATGGTATAGCCTTACACTGGAATACTATACAGCCACGAAAAAGAATAAAAACAGACTTTAAAATTATTTATTTATTTATTTATTTGGCTGCACCGGGTCTTAATTGTGGCACACGGGATCTTCATTGCTGCGTGTAGGATCTTCATTGTGGCATGCAGGATCTTTTAATTGCAGCATGTGAACTCCTAGTTCAGTCCTAGACTAGTCAGAGTCTTAGCCACTGGACCACCAGGGAAGTCCTAAAATAGATTTCTTATCTGCAAATGTGGAATGATTTCCAAGACATACAATTTGTTTCTTTTTTATCAAGCTGTATTGAAATGTAATTGACAAAAATGTAAGATATTTAAAGTGTACAGTATGATGATTTGATATACGTATACATTGTGAAAGGATTCCTCCTGACAAGTTAACACATTTATCACCTCACATATTTACCTTTTTTTTTGGTGAGCACATTTAAATTCTACTCTTAGCAAATTTCAGTTCTACAATTCAGTGTTATCAACTATAGTCACTGTGTTACATATTAGCTCCTCAGAACTTATTCATCTTTTAAAAAATAATTTCTAAGTTTATTATTTTAATTTTTATTGAGGTATAATTGACATATACATTATATTAGTTTCAGCTAATGATTCAATATTTGTATATATTGCAAAACGAGCACCACAATAAATCCAATTAACAGCTGTCACCATACATAGTTAAAAATATTTTTTCTTGTGTTGAGAACTTTTAAGATCTGTTCTCTTAGCACCTTTTAAATATGCATACATTATTATTAACTGTAGTCACTGTGCTGTACGTTACCTCCCCAGAACTTATTTATCTTAAAACCGGAAGTTTGGGACTTCCCTGGTGGTCCCGTGGGTAAGACTCCACGCTCCCAATGCAGGGAGCCCGGGTTCGATTCCTGGTCAGTGAACTAGATCCCACATGCTGCAACTAAGACCCGATGCAACCAAATAAATAAATAAATAAATATTAAACAAAACTGGAAGTTTGTGCCTGTTGACCTTCTTTACCCATTTGCCCATGCCGTACCTAAACTTTATCTTATAACTGAAAGTTTGTACCCTTTTACCAACCTTTCCCTGTTTCCCCCACCTCCCAGTCCCTGACAACCACTTTTCTATTCTCTGTTTTTATGAGTTTGACTTTTCCCCCCCACATATAAGTGATAACGTGCAGTATTTGTCATTCTCTGTCTGGCTTATTTTACTTAGCATAATGCCCTCCGGTTTCACCCATGTTGTTGCAGGTGACAAAATTTCCTTTTTTTAAGGTTGAATAATATTCCTGTATGTGTGTGTGTGTGTGTGTGTGTGTTTTAATATAAAGGAAGGCAATATGCCAAAAAATAGATGTTTCCTTTGTGCCTTTTTTTAAAAAAGCACACCTGATGGCTTGTGTATACATAGAACATTTATGGAAGAATACACAAGAAATTGACAATAGAAGTTACTTCTGGACAGTTAGGCTCATTGGGGAACATTATTGCATGCCTTTAGGAATGGTTTAATTTTTTTATGTATTCACTAATGTAGACTTTTACATCTGTTATTTCTGCTTTTTTTGTGTTTAAGTTTTGTTTTTCCTTGAACTTTAAAGCTTATTAAAAGTTAACATTATTCCTCTAAGACAACTTTAGTACCTCCTGTTTTTTATGTATATACTTTCTAGATGCTTACATATTTTTAAGAGATTGCCAGAATTTGGGCCATTATGTAATGAAGTGAAAATGTTCAGACCCAATACAGTGTGTAGAACAAATACATCTTTTAATCATGGTATTGCATATTATTCTAAATTATTAATGTAAATAAAATAAGTCATTTTGAGACCAATTTAAGGATTTTTTTTTGGGTCTGAGAGCAATAAAAAGTAGTGTCAAGCATTTGTTAAATAAATGCAAGCATCTTTTGGTTTTTTTTCAGAACTTGTTTTGAGGCAAAATTTATACACAGTGAATTCCACCTATCTTAAGTACACAATTTGATAAGTTGTGACAAATGCATATACCTGTGTAATATACACCCCTAGCAAGATACAAAATAGTTTCATCACCATCAGAAAGTTCCCTCTTGTTCCTTCCCAGTCGCTCTGCCCCAGCCGCTTTTATTTTATTATAGGTTTGCGGTGCTTGAGCTTCATATAAATGGAACCATGCCATATTTACTCTTTTGTAACTGATGTGTTTTGTTCATATAATGTTTTTGAGATTCATCTACATTATGTGTATCAGTAGTTTGTTCCTTTTTGTTGCAGAGAAGTATCCCATTTAGTTTTAAATCCTCCTTATTTCCATTGTATGAATATGTCACAGTTTATCTGCTGTCTTAGAGATGAACATCTGGGTTGTTTCTAATTTAGGGCTATTATGAATAAGGCTGCTATGAACGTTCTTGTGCAAGTCTTTTTTGTGAATATATGTTTTCATGTTTCTTGGGTAGATAACTAAAACTGAATTGCCAGTTTTCCAGAGTGGTTGTACTGCACATCTTTTTTTCAGTTTTCATTTTTACCAGAGTTGCACATAGTTATCTTTTAAAGAGTCAAATATTTCTACAAGACTTAGTGCCAGGGACAGCAATACCCTACCCCGTTATTTCTTCCTCAGAGTTAACCACTTTCAATTCTTTGAGCTGATTCTTTTGGTATTTCCTTCCGTATCTCTAAGCAACTAACTTACACTTCTTGTATTTTGTCAAGGTTTAGGCATTATCCATGGACTGCACGTCATGGAATTGTAGGCTTAACTTTCTTTCACCTCTCCCCCCACATTTCTACTAGACGCAGCCTTCTTTGTCTCCCTCATACACCCGGTATGTTTACCTTACTATCACTGTGCAAATGCTATTCCTACATACATTTCGTTTTCTCCTTTACTTTGTTTTCTTATGTATTTATCTCTCTTTCATTCTCAAACTCTTCACACGTCGTTTAACTTTCTTCTCAGTAAATTCGAACATAATAAGGAAGTTCAGTTCCTGGCCCCACCACTTAACTGGACAAATTACTTAAACCATCTGTACATTAGTTTCCTCATCTATAAATTGGGGAGTAATAGTACATATCTCCAAGGATGATTGTAAGAATTTAGGAAGTACTTACAAGCTCTGAGAATGGGGCTCGGTACATAGTATGATACACGTAATACAATGATGATGATAAGATTTTGATGTAGCCATTAAAAAAAAGGTCTCTGTTGTGATGTGGAGCAATTTCCAAGACTATTACTAAATGGGAAAATAAGCAGGTTGTATAATAAACTACCATTTGATTACCCACTCCGCCATTCTCTCCTGTTGAATCCCCAGAGAAAGACAAAGGCGCTTACCTCACAGGCCACACTTAAGTACTGTTAACTATTCCTTATAGCAGTGTTATCTACCCTATACCAAGTACCGTGTTAGTAGACTCCAGAGATACTGCAGTGAGCAAAGCAGACATGGCATATCCACATCCACATGTTTGGTTGGCCTTAGAAGCTAGCTTTGTATTATTTATTTCTGGGAATATACAGTTTATTCACTCAAGAAACACTGATGCCTATTCAGTGCTCTGGAGGACATAGTGGCATTTTATATGAGCAGAGGCATCCAGAAAGTAGCATACCAAATGTCAACAGTTTGTTTTGCCTGAAGTGTTGTATCATGTATTACCTTTTCCTACTCCGTTATTATATATAACAGAAGTTTGCTACACCAAGTTATTTTGTTTTTCAAAAAAGAGAACGTAGTTTACTGTAAACTTAATACCACTTAAAATATGAAAGAAATTGACAGCAGCATGTATCAGAAACAAATGTATTATTCCTAGTATATAATAGAGCTTTAGTACCAAAAGAAATCTGACGATGATCTAGCAGTTAGATTCTAGTTCATCAGAAAGTAATAAATCTAAGTTTATGTAGAATAAAATGCAATTAATAACGTGTGAAAAGGTTTTGTTTAATTAAATTCTTTCTCCAAAATACTGACATAAAAGGATTATATGATACATTGTGAATTAAAAGCATATTGTTCTGTCAAACTTTTTTTCTCCAACAGGATTCTTGGGATGGGCAGCATATTCCAGTGCTTTTCTCCATTTTTTGTGGTTTATTAGTGGCAGTATCCTATCATCTCAGCCGACAAAGCAGTGATCCATCTGTACTTTTGTAAGTGAGATTACTTGTTATTGAATTAAAGAAATATAAATAAGTTGGCATTTCTTTCAAATTTAACTTCCAAAATCTGTTTTTCCAATGCCTTGTCAAAGTGCTATTGACTTATCTGTATTTGATTTCAAAATATATTAACTTTGGGTCATTCTGATTACCATTGGCTGAAAGTATTTGTTAGCTTTTTCTCTCCTAAGATTTAAAACTATATTTTCATAAAAATATTCTTATTGTATGCTTATTTATGGCATCTTAAACTTTTTAGAATTTGTCATTTGCTTAATGAGTAAATATACTTGGATCACTTCATTTTCTATCATAAACTTTATTTGCCATTTGAAGTACTGGTTTTTAGGTTATAAATATATTTTTAAATTATTTTCTCTCTTTTTTTAATGTAAAGCTCTTTAGTGCAATCCAAGATTTTTCCAAAAACAGAAGAGAAAAATCCAGAAGACCCGTTGTCTGAAGTAAAAGATCCACTGCCTGAAAAACTTAGAAATTCTGTTGTAAGTTTTAGCTTTTTAAAATCACCTGAAAGACTTAAATTTTATATAGTTCATCATGGTATATAATGAACACTTTTTGAAGTAACACAATTTTAGTAACTGGGGAAAAATATATAGTTGTACATGGTTGGTGGTTTTATTTCAAATTTTAACATGTAAGAAATGCTTATTCCTCAAAGTTTGTTTCAATGTAGAACAGTATGCTAAATATTTTTAGATAAGTTGAGATTAAGTGATTTCATTGTTTATAGAATTCTTAATCCTATTGAATTTAAACTAGGATTGAAAGGTGAATATTAACATAAATTAGATTTATTTTGTTGTTACTTTTGTTGATAAAAACTACGTCCTTATAAGTCATCTGCTGGTCTTCTAGTGTATTTTTCAAGTGTGTGTGTGTGTGTGTGTGTGTGTGTGTGTGTATGTGTGTGTGTGTGTGTGTATGTATGTATGTTTATTTTCCAGGTTGAAGGAGAGAACAATAACCTGTACTAATTTCATATACTCAAGCAGATGTAGTAATTTAAAAAATTTTAACGTTACCTGCATTTTTTCAGTTATTATTTAAAAAATGAATTCTACAGATTCATATCTGCCATATGGAACAAAACATTTTTTCCTAAGTTATTTTACATATTTCCATTTATGAAAGGATGAATTTATATAGGTCTTGAATTAGACTAATATTTACCTTCACTGAACTTGAGCTGTTCATATATTCTTTAGAAAACTTCAGAAAAATACAAAACTGCCTCAAGATATAATTTAAACAGTTTTTTCTGACTTTAGTTTTCATGTTAGCAAAGGACATTTCATGTTAAGTATAATAGGATATTTCTGAATGTATTAGCTTAAAAGCATAAATCTGTGGGTCAGTTGATGACCAAAGATATCAAGAGGTTTCTGGTTTTCACTGCAACCACTAAAAGAGCCAAAATTCAGTAAGTAGGGACTTCTCTGGTGGCGCAGTGGTTAAGCATCCACCTGCCAATGCAGGGGACATGGGTTTGAGCCCTGGTCCAGGAAGATCCCACATGCCGTGGAGCAACTAAGCCCGTGCGCCACAACTACTGAGCCTGCGCTCTAGAGCCCGCGAGCCTCAACTACTGAAGCCCACGTGCCTAGAGCCCGTGCTCTGCAACAAGAGAAGCCACTGCAATGAGAAGCCCACGCACTCGCAACAAAGAGTAGTCCCCGCTCCCCTGAACTAGAGAAAGCCCGTGCGCAGCAATGAAGAGCCAACACAGACAAAAATAAATAAATTTATTTTTAAAAAAAACAAGATTCAGTAAGTAAAACAGGACATATGCATTCAGTTTCAACATTTCAGAAGGCCAATGAAAATATAACTTGGTTATCCAAAAGGATATACCCTATAAAAGAACTTAAATATCTCATTTCTTTTTCCCGTATGTAAAGCTTACAGACCAATGGGGGGAAAATCTTCATTCTAAAAGACTTTGTTATGATATGTTTACTGTGTGTGGAACTAGTTAAGCTTAGTTTAATTTCCTTGGCATTGCAGGATCAGACCAAAATATGAGGAAACTGAGGAAGAAAATAAGACTTATTGTAGTTAATTATTATGTGTAAGAAATACCTAGAAGTGCTACAGAATAGGATCAGTGAAAATTTATTTCTTAAGCTTGGCCACTTGGGAGGGAAGATTTTGTTTAAATTTTTGTGTAGTGTTAGATAATTCTGTTTTGTTCCGCAGAGCGAGCGTTTACAGTCTGACCTAGTAGTGTGCATTGTAATTGGTGTGCTGTACTTCGCTATTCATGTAAGCACAGTGTTCACAGTATTGCAGGTAAGGAATCATTTTATTCTTTTCACTCAGGGAAAATAACTTCGTTTGGATTCACTTCTGATGTGATTGTAGTGTTGGTCCATAATGCCGAAATATATGACTTTTTGTTTGGTTTTAACAACAAATACTTATTTTCTCATGGTTTCTCATGGGTCGTGACTCTGGGAATGGCTTAGCCAGATGATCCCAGCTCAGCATGTGTTATCATGCTGCAGTCATTATGTGGCTGCAATCAGCTGAGGCTGTTAGCAGGCCTCACTTCCTTGCTGACTGTTGGCCAGAGAGCTTAGTTCTTCTCCATGTGGTCCTCACCAGGGGCTGCCTGAATATCCTCACAAAATGGCAGCCTGTTTCCCCCAGAGCCAGTGACCCTAGAGAGAGAAAGCCCAAGGCCGAAGGCCCAGTCTTTTATAACTGATGTTGGATGTGGCATACATACCACCACTTCTTCCGTATCCATTGGTCATACAGGGCAACCCTGCTGCAATGTGGGAGGGGAATACAAGCAGGCATAAACACCAGGAACCGTGCTGGACTGACACCGTATGCCCTCTGGCCTCCGTGATTCACATCCTTCTAAACCCCCCAAAGTCTCATTCCACTACAACTGGAAGTCCAGAACGCCGTCCTCTAAATCAGGCCCGGGTGTGGGCGATGCTTGGTCCTGCAGTACAGTGCTGCGCGTCTGCAGGCCACGCGGTTACCTTCCTCGGGGCTCTTCGTTCTCTTGTGCAGACCTGTATTTCTACATGGTGTCAATTTGATTATGATGCACCTCCACGTAGTTTTCTTCATGTTTTCGTGTCTGGGGTACATTGCATCTGTGGTCTAGTTTTCATCAGATTTAGAAAATTTTGGTCATTATTACTGTAAATGTTTTTTCCCTTTTCCTTTTGCTGTCCCTCCACCCACCCCCACTCATGGACTCCAGTTACATGTATATTTGGCCTCTTGAATTTGTCCCACAGTTCACTGATGCTTTGTTCGTTTTAAATTCTTTCCGCCTCCCACCACATGTTTAATTTTGAATGCTTTCTATTGCTATTGCTTTGTTGTTAAGTTCACTCATCTTTTCTTCTGTAATATGTAATCTGCAGTTAATCCCATCCAGTGTATTTTTTGTCTCAGAACTAACAAGGTTCATCTTTAGAAGTTGGATTTTAGGTCTTTTTTTATATCTCTCATGCCTCTATTCACTTTTTTGAACAAATGGAATTCACTTCTAACTCTCTTAATGTTCTTGTCTCATAATTCTAATTTCTGTGTCACTTATGGGTTGGTTTTGATTAATTGATATTTTTCCCCATGGGTCATAGTTTCCTGATTCTTTGCATGCATGGTAATTTTTGATTGGATGTCAAGCATGATAAGGTTGGCCTTTTGTGTATTGGATATTTTTGTATTCCTAGAAATACTCTTGAACTTTGTTTTTTGGCACTATTAAGTTACTTGTTAACAGCTTGATCCCCTCAGATCTAACTTTTAAGATTGCTTAATTGAGACTAGGGCTGTTTAGTTTAGGGCTAATATTCCCCCTACTGAGGCAACATGCTTTGGAATACTCTGACCAGTGCCCTGTGAATGTTGAGTTTTTCCAACCTGGCTTGTGAGAACAGGCACTATTCCTAGCCCTGTGTGAGTGCTGGATACTCTTCTCTCTAATCCCTTGGCGAGGTTCCTTCCCTTTGCATATGTAGTTCTCTGCCACACACATGTGCTGACTCCCCTGAATATTCGAGGGTGACTCCGCAGATCTTCTAAGTTCTCCCTCCATGCAGTTTTCTCTTTGGAGCACTGTCTGCTCTGGTGAGCTCTGGTGAACACTAGCTGCTTTGCTGTCTCCAGGCTTTTAGTTCTGTCTCCTCAACTCAGGAGGTACCAGGCTTCATGTGGATTCCCCTCCCTTCACTGCAACTTGGAAAGTATCTAAGGGCAGTAAGCTGGGGCAGTCCTGACACTTACCTCATCTGTTTTCTTTCTCTCAGTGTTTACTGATTATTTCCTTATGTCTAGTATATTGCAAACCATTGGTTCATATATTTTATTCTATTTTGGCTCATGTGGAATAGGGTAAATCTCTATTATTCCATTTGGCCAGAAGCAAAGGTTATATTATTTAAATTTAACATTTTTGCCTGTTTTCTTCTCTTCCAATTTGAACCATTAACTCCTGAGTACCTCACAAGCTGAGTGAGGTCCAGTGGGTCTTCAGGGGTCCGATGGAAACCTCTTTAAGTTTCTAAACGTATGGCTTTTAATTTGAATACTTGAAGTGATGGTACTTGGTTTTTGTGAATTTAGTCATACATAAGAACTCTCTTCCAAACCATGTGAAGCCACAAAAAAAGAACTTTTTCCTCATTCTATTTTGCTCTTCACTCAAACTTAACAGTTTTATTTAGCTCATGTCCTTTATCTCTGCTAGCTAAAACAATTGAATACATTGCTCTGCAAGTCACATAGAACATTCTTAGGGAAGCAAGCAATATACCTCAGGCCACACTCTAATTACACTGACAGTGTGAGACACCAAGGAAAGTAGTTAACACATTTAAAAATATCTGTAATACATGAACAGTCACTACCTTTCATGGCTGATTTAATCAGAAAATTACATAATATAGAAATGTTAACTGCAGACAAATGTTTAGTTCTTAGATTCTATAGTTGACTAAAATTGAACTGACAAATTAGAAGTTCTCCTTTGGGTCTCCAAATCACTTTTAATGTCCTCAACTTTATCCTTCTTTTAGCCTGCGCTCAAGTATGTGTTGTATGCGCTTGTCGGCTTCGTGGGTTTTGTAACCCATTACGTGCTGCCTCAAGTTAGGAAGCAGCTACCGTGGCACTGCTTCTCTCACCCTCTGCTCAAGACGGTGGAGTATAATCAGTATGAAGTTCGAAGTAAGTATTTCATTAACACTTCCTTTCAATACTATGGATTTTTTTCTTTTACTTTGTTGACAGGTGACTGTTAAGTAAGTATCATCAAGTAACACTTCGGCTTGTGTTTCTTAGGTTTGACACTAATGAATCAGACCTTTTGCTTTCATTTCAGTTGAAGTATAAATGTCAGTGCTAAAATGCCAGCTTACCACAGAATAAACCTTGCTCTTTCCTCCTCTAAGTTGTTCTTCACAGACCTCTCATTGATTAATCCTTCAGTGTATGTCTGTGACTTCTCTTTCCAGTCCCTACCTTTACCCTCAATCTTCCTTGCAATATGCAGGCAACTCAATCCTCTTTAAGACTTCTATTTGATATATTTTTAACTCAAAGCATAAAGGGAATAGAAAGGTCTTCATTCCTGTTTCCACCAGTGACACTATGTCCTACCAGAGAGGGTTATAAAGAGTTGATCAAGAGAAAAGAGGTGAAAAACATTTGTAATTGTTATTATTCATTCAGATTTGGGATAAAGTATAAAATGACTAAAAAGAGGTAGAAGGCCAGTCCATTTGGCAAGCTTTTTACTTGTCACTTTAAACCCTGACTTTTCTGTTATAAGTAATCAGTCTGGTTCATTGGTTCCATGACCTATAACATACTTCCTCATTTTAGGGATATAATAAAAGTTAATACCTGTGTCATCATTATTAAATACCAGTGATTAAACAAGCCAATGTGTTTTCCTCAGACTTTCTCTTTAGTTAATGAGTTACTATAGAGAGTAAATTTCTCAACTGTTTGGAGATGAATTAACTTCTTTAGAGAACTCTGAAGCTTTTGAAAGATTTCTATACCAAACTTGACTTTGCAGTATCAAAGCGTATTTCCTGGGCCTTTTAGCAGAATTGCTTAAGTCATCATGGTACTGTAATCTTGATCACTGTTTTGATCCTGGAGAGATAATTAAATATTAATGTGTAGATTGTAGTAAAATGACATAAAACTATAAAAATCTGTACTGGCCTATTCTTACCATCAGGAAAATAACTCAGAATGATGTATTTTTGATAGTTAATGATTAATTGCTTTCATATATAAATGTTAGCAGGTGTATCTGGTTTGTTTTGAAGAACAGTTTTCATTAAAGTAAATCATTGATCATGTTGTTTGTTTTTTATCTTAACAAAACATTTAGTCTAAATTTTTATAAATTTTGAATCAACATAACATTTTTCACTTATTGTGAGAGTATTAGGCATTAGCAAAGTTGACTGTAGTAGCTATAAAGAAAAATCTGATTCATTAGAGAACTTCCTAGAGGTGGTTGACATTATTTTCAGATAGCTGGAGGATCGTATTTTAAATCTTTCAGCTTATCCTAGACACTTTCCCCAATGACATTAAATACTAAAGTATTGGGAAAATATTACTGGCAATGAAAATGACACTTATGAAGTGTGTGAATCCAAAACATATACTTTCATATCTGTTCTGAGATGTATGTCTTATAAGATGTATGTGTATGTAAGGATTTTAAAAACAGATAATTTAATAGATCATTTATTTCTTTTGGAGGAAAGGGGCAGTCTAATAATCTTCACTAATCTTTTCTCCAAAAGTTATAGGCATAAATAAGAAAAAGTTATGGTTAAAAACTGAGATTTCAAAAAAAAAAAAAAAAACTGAGATTTCAAGAATAAAAGTTTAAAATGAAATTCAGTTCATCTAAATTTACCATCTAAGTTGGAAAGTTGCATGTGTCTCAGAATTCATAAAATTGACTATTGATTGACATACTGGATTACTTACATTATTTATAGTACAGCTGAATTTGAGTGGTAAGATTTTCCTTTCTTATCACAATACCAGACTATTTTATGCATTAGATGACATGGTTTTCTTGACTTAATATTGCCTTGTTAGACGCAGCTACTGTGATGTGGTTTGAGAAACTTCATGTGTGGCTTCTTTTTGTGGAGAAGAATATCATCTATCCATTGATTGTTCTCAATGAACTTAGTAGCAGTGCAGAGACAATTGCTAGTCCAAAAAAACTGGATACAGAGTAAGTACAGTACTCCTCTTATCTAAGTTTGACTGCTGGGGTCTGTCATAGCAATGTCTTAAGTTACTGATCTAGTAACAAGTAATCATCGAGTGTCTCTTTGGTGCAAAGTACTGTGTGAAAAATTCAAGTGAAATTTTGTCTTTGACTTCCCTTTTCTGAACATCTGTTTCTGCTCTTGGCATATTACTACTCCAGACATCTCATTGTAAACTAACATTATATGAGATGACATTTATTAAATAAGGTTAATTTTAATATTAGATGGTAAGTTTTGGAGATGATTATTTTTGTGTACTGTGTGAATCAGACCATTTAGGTGTTTACTTGCCTATACAATCATCCTGTAGGCCTACCCACTACACTAGGTACATGTTGTTAGGTAAGCATTAATATGTTTTGTATGTGCTAAATGCTGTTGATGTTTAAGCAATAGAAGTACTGAGAAACTGGAGAACCAAATGTCAGAATTGCAATAGTGTTACTTATTTTTTAAACATGATTATTTATATAAAGGATAAGAATTATGAAACATATGCTTAAAAAGGAATATTTAGAAGTTTAAATTTGATATATATATTCTAAGTTTAGTAAATGAAATGGTGATTTTTCTGAAGTTTGTAGATTAACGTTTTCAGTCATCCGTTGATGAATGTGCTTTCTTTATATTGTAGATTAGGTGCTTTAATGATCACCATTGCTGGTCTGAAGCTGCTACGGTCCTCTTTCAGCAGCCCTACATATCAGTATGTCACAGTCATCTTTACTGTGCTCTTTTTCAAAATTGACTATGAAGCTTTTTCAGAGACCATGCTGTTGGATCTGTTCTTCATGTCCATACTCTTCAACAAGGTAATTTATCACTAAAGGAAACATCCTTATCTGTAAAAAGTGTCTCCCTAAGTAATATGCTATTTAGTGAGGATTACGCTTGCTTTTCATTTGCTTTATTATCTTTTAAGTAGTATCTTTCTTCAGTCAACCAGTTATTTAGGATTAGAATCCCTAAACAATGCCAGTCACTGTCATCCATAGAAGATATATTTCTTGCTGTGGCTAGGAAGGTAAGATTAAATTATATGGAAACATTAGAGGAACTCTAATAAGTATATAAATATATGGGTTCTTCCAAAAGGGGGTGTGGTTTTGAATAATTTTAGAAACAAGCATGGTAATAATTGAACCAAACTGTAGGCTGCTTCATAGATGGAGGGAGGAAATAACCTGATACTGAATGAAGATGGTGGAGACTGAGGGCAGCGAGGCCATGTGGGAGCAGTGAGATGCTAGTTTATTTGCAGAATATACTGAAGTTTACAGAATGCTCCTAAAATTTGTTATCACCCATGGGATAGTTGCCTGTAGTCTTTTTACAAACGAGATGGTAAAGCCTGCATCTTCTGCCTCCAAGAATCTTCTTGCTGAGCCACACTGCCTTTCTAAGTGAAATAGGTTGTGTAGTCAGATTATTTGAAATTACATAGTTCAGATTTCATGTTAACACTGACCACATACAAAGGACTTTGACATATATTATCCCATTTGATAGGTGACAGAGAGCTGAAGCATATGAGCAGCTACAAAACACAATGAAATCCCAGTTTTAGGAAAGTTAGCCTGGTCAGCCACATTTGGGATGAATTGGGGAAGAGAGAACCTAAAGGTATGGAGAACAGCTTAAGAGATTGTGACAGTAATTTAGATGTGATAGAGGTCTGGCCTAGGATGGGGACAGTAAAAATGAAAACCGTTAATCTGAACAAGCTTTTAGAAATAGTTTCTAAATATTGTACTAAATGTTATGCTAAATAGCTTCTCAATATCACAATATTATATTTGTTCAATCACTAATTTGTATGCATTTTTATCATTTATTTCCTCTTCTAGTGAGCATGATTAATCAAAGGAGGGGGCCAGAAAGTTAATCAGAGAATTGTCGGTATAAAAAAAGCATGTGATTTCTCACAAATTTAATATTTAGATTGGAAATTGTATTGAATCTTATACCGCTTGGAAAAAAGTGAAATTTGCAGTAAAATATAAACTAAACAGTCCTTGAAATAGTCACTACACTTAACTCGCATTAGTTTGGATTTTCTTAATACTTTCATTTGTTAAGCAAATTGTTTTTGAGAGTGTACCATGTTCCAGAACTATTCTAGATGCTTAGGCTACATTAGTTAACGAAACAGAGAAAGCTCTGCCCGCAAGGAGTTTGCATTTTATATGGTTACTTCCTGGAACTTAACAGTGATAATAAGCAAGTAGTATTCAAGGGATCTCTTTAGATATATTTATTTTAAGATGTCATTGTAAGGTGTACCACCAACTTAATAATATTTCAAGAAAAAATTGCTCTGAATGTATACAAAGCTATTTTCACCCACTAACTACTTAAACATGTAATTACATATCATTTTTCTTTAATATTACAGTCAAAATTTGAGTACAGTCTGTTTACCATTTAGAAACAGAAGAGTGTTCTGAGTCACTGTTTTTAAGCAGTGGCAATGGCATCTGACAGTATACATGATGCTTTTACTTCCTGTCATCCTGATCCCATTAGTACCGAGGGTTGCCAGCATAATTTTGAGTCATGGCAAAGAGTGCAGGGATTCATCTGCATTTTCTGATTGGTTGAAGTTGTGATTTCTTTTTTAAATTGGAAATTAAACAAGTTCATTTGTAAATCAGCTAAATAATTTAAATGTGAGGTGTTTGGTGCCTGAATCATGGCACTGAATTAGTCAGAACCTCTTGCTTTTAAGATTCTGTGATCTGTTCTGAGAATGGGGCCTTGCATTGCCTAGCATGCAGAGGCAATCTTGGGCACAATAGTTCTGTTTCAGTGTTGAAGAAATGTTCAACAACAAAGCAGATCCTAATTGAAATAAGATTAAAATGTATATTATGCTTCCATTGGCAATAACAATTCTGATTGTGAACAGATGCCTAATACACACTAGTAAATTCTTAGGAAACAGACAGTGACAACTGAATTACAACTTTATCCCCTGCCTGGCTGCTTTCAAATTCCTTTCGACATTGCATTTAAAACTTACTCATTTTACAAAGCACTAAAATTTGAGGGAAATGCCAGAATAAAAAAAATATATATATATATATATATATTTTTTTTTTTTTTTGGTTTTGCTTGTTAGTAGTAATAGAACCAATAGACAGCATAGAATTTTTAAACTGATAAAACATAAATCCGTAAGTCAGTTAACTGTCTTTACTTAAAAACACATTCAGTGTTTTGGCAGTGATATTTCTTTTCCTTTGATGCAAATGGCAAATAATTTCCATGCTATTTCCCTATTAGGAAGAAAATCATTTTAGAAGTTTTTCATTTTCTAATTTAAAAATCTGATGGTAAGCTTTTTACTGATTGTTTTTGTTTTCCTCCTACAGCTTTGGGAACTCCTTTATAAATTGCAGTTTGTATACACTTACATTGCTCCATGGCAAATTACATGGGGTTCTGCTTTCCATGCTTTCGCTCAGCCCTTTGCAGTGCCCCGTATCCTTCTAATAAAAGTTGATAAGAAAGGGCAGTCATATCCTTGATGAGAACGTTGGTTTGTAGGCATAACCTTTCACAGGCATAGAATATAGGTTACTATGTGATAAATTATCAAAAATTCACAGTCTTTTGAGCCCACACCTATACCAATTTTGATTGTCTAATTTGTATTAACTTCTGTGGCCCACAGATCATCTGAACATGAGAAAAGTATTAAGGTTTTATAATTAAGTAATGCTGATTAAAAATTTCATGTTTATATATGTGAGTATTAAAGTCCAGGAATTTTCAATATATACAAAATGTGTTTAGAAATATTTATAAGTGAATGAGCATTCAAAACATTTTCCATATTGATATGATTGTAATTAAACTTACATTCAAAATTTTCTATTCTCATCCTTTCTTAAAGGTACTTTCTAAGTAAACATAAAGGTTAGTGACCTTGTAGATGTTGATATGCAGACTTTTGTATCTTTAAATTTTAGTTTTTATCTTCTGGAAAATTAAAACCATCTCTACCCAAGAGTGATACATGGAATTTTACCAGACACATGTTAGCAAATATTTATTTGGCTCCCTTCAGAGCATCATGCCAGGCTGTACTTTCCTGGCTGTGTCTTTCTGCTTCTACCCCTTATACTGTCCAGTGACACCTTCTTCTGTATTCCTCTGATGAACCTCATTTTTCTAATTGCTGTAATTGCAATGTGTTTGTGAGATGTGTGTGTGTGTGCCGTGCGTGCAGGTGTGTGAACGCGCGTGCATGATCAGATGAATGTTAAGGTCCTTAACCAGTTTTCCCATAGATTCAGCCATGTTGTTTGTTCAGGCTGCCGTATCAGCCTTCTTTTCTACTCCACTGAACCCCTTCCTGGGAAGTGCAATATTCATCACTTCATATGTTCGACCTGTGAAATTCTGGGAGAGAGACTATAAGTGAGTAAAGAACAACACTTGAAAGCCAGTTTTTATCTTTTTTACTAGGAAAAACTATTGACAGCATTGTTATAAATTATTCATGGTTAACATTTTTCTATTGAAATACTTAAAATTTTATAAATATTCTTAAAGTTTCAAAATTATATAAAATTGGAAGAGTCAGAGGATACTCTATTTTCTCTACCTTTTTTTCTATTTATAAGATTTTTAAAACATAGTCCTAGTTAAATATATTCATTTTTCTGTCCTTTTTCTTTTAATGTTATTTCTTAGAATTGTTCCACATTAATAATACTTTGAAACTTTATGCTATACACTGTTACATCATTATCACAGTCATAATTAGTTATCTCATAGTTTTCTAAGAAGTAGCTATTTTTAGAGCTAAACTTTTTATAGGTTATTTGTAGTTTTTCATGAGGGTAGGTTTTTAAATAACCATCTTTGTACATAAAGTATTTTCATTTAAGCTTAATTCCTTAGGTTAGCTGTTTAATATGATGCCTAGTAACTATCCTTGTATGTAATCTCCAAATTTTTTCTTCTTTTTTTTTAATTTAAGAAAATATCTAAAGGGGAATTACTGAATCATGGAGCTTAAACATTTTAAAGGCTTATAAATGTATTAACATGTTGATTCAGAAAGAGCTTGTACTGATTTATAATTCTACTGGCCAGCTCCACGACTGCCTTTCTCTCTACACTTTCACACATAGGTACATATAATAGGTGAAAATGGTAATCTTTTTAACAATGAACTGGCTTATGGATGTGAAACTTTTGCTCTGGTCTTTTACCTAAAATCACACATAGTATTTCTCTTTTTGGTGAATTTCAGTGTTATTTATACCCTTTTTTCTTCTGGACCAACTTAAATTTAGTCCAGAATAACATCTTTTTTTTTTTTTTTTTTTTTTTGGTTTTTGGGGCTCTCTCACTTTTGTGGCCTCTCTCTTTGCGGAGCACAGACTTCGGACGCGCAGGCTCAGCGGCCATGGCTCACGGGCCCAAGCCGCTCCACGGCATGTGGGATCTTCCCGGACCGGGGCACGAACCCGTGTCCCCTGCATCAGCAGGCGGACTCTCAACCACTGTGCCACCAGGGAAGCCCCAGAATAACATCTTTGTCAGCAGTTCTTAAACTGTTTGATCTCAGAGCCCCTTTACATAAAATCTTAAAAATTATTGACGTCTCCAAAGAGTTTTTGTTGATAGGGGTTTTATCTACTACATATTTACTATAATAAATATTGTACAATATTTATTGTATTATAAGTCAAAACTCATTTTATATTATAAATGAATTAATATAAAAATAACAACAATAAACCTATTACATGTTAATATAAATAACATTTTTCTAACGAAGAATAACTGTATTTACCATTCCACCAAAAAAATCCGAAGAATGTCATTGTTTATAGTTTTGTCAATCTCTTTCATGTCTGACTTAATAAAAGACAGCTGAATTCTCTTATCTGCTTCTGCATTCAGTCTCTTGTAGCGTTGTGTTGTTCTGATTGAAGTATATAAAGTAAATCTGGCCTCACACAGATATACAGTTTGAAAAGAAAGAAGTATTTTAATAGCCTTTTTAGACAATTGTGGATATTCTTGGATCCTTCGACATATGGTAGTTTCTTAAAGATTAGTGGCAATGTGGAACCTAAAGCCATATCAGTGAATTTTTGGAACTGTATTACATCAAAATTCACTGATATGTCTTACAGTTTGAATGGGTCTTTTACCCATGCATACACTTATATTGATACATCTTTATCTATCGTTTGGAAAATACTGGCTCAGTGAGTAATGTAGATCTTCCAAATTTTGACCCATTTCACGGTACAATATTAAAAAATATATGTATTCATATCACCACCAATCTCAAAAAAGTGTTGAAGTATTGGGAAGCTATCAAGTGCATGGTGGTAGATGCAAGTTTTCTGAAATTCTAATTTTTGCTTGAAAACTCGAATTTTTATTATTGGCAACAGGTATCTTTATCAGTTATTTTTCTTGAAATGTCAGACTTACTTTCTTCACTTGAGAAATGTCTGTCAAATACTCAAGTCTGAATAGTCATAGTTTATTCAAGTGGAAATGGTGTTCCATGGAAAAAAGCAGCTACTGCTACTTACACTTCAAGCAGTTGCACAAATGCTTTCCCTCCAGACAATCGTCCTATGTCAGAATGCAGCAGAAGTGCTTTATGTGTATTTTGCCACACACAATATTAAAAAGACCTGTACTGAGGGGCTGCAATTTAACAAAATTATTATTTTTATTGCTTCGCTAAGGACATTTTTAAGGGAAACTTGAATTTTTATTTATTGTTTTTTCGTGTGCGTGGGTAGCAGTGAAAAATAGTACAGTTTGGTGCCACTGCCTTGATTGATGTTAAAGCACCGGCAGTCTTACCCACCGTTGCTTTTGCACCATCAGTGCAGTTGTCAACACAGTGGAAAAAAAGCGAATAACAGTTCAGTACTATTATGAAAATAGTTTTGATTTGGAAAACTCCCTGAAACATCTGAAGTGTCCTGCTTCAGGTTCTGTGGACCACATTTTGGGAACCACTGTTCTAAAGAACACTGTACCTCTGGACATTAATAATCTTCCCCTTATAAGGAATGTTTCATGCACTATATATTTTTAGGAACTGTATACAGTATGCATTGTTCATCCTGATCAAAAATTTTTTTACATTAAACTCAGTGTCTTTCTATACACTGTTCGGTGAAACATCAGTTAAGAAAAAACTTGTCTTTATGTATAATGGAGATGGAAGAGTAAAAAATAAATCCTTACCCCTAAAATTGTTCTATCAAAGAGCTTTATTAATATGTTATGCATAGATTTTTCTCATTTTTATAAAGCGATAATATTTATTTCATCTTTATTGTATAGTTTTCTCCCTTTTAATTGTTAGACTTTTTTAATATAAAAAAGCTTACTAAAGATGTTTCATTTTGCCTTTTTTAGCACAAAACGAGTGGATCATTCAAATACCAGATTGGCTTCCCAGCTTGATAGAAATCCAGGTAATAGCCCTATTTGTGAGTAAAGAAGCAAGTCTAAGGAATTCGTTATATACGTATTTCACTCCCGACTTATTTGGGAATCCTCTATGGAATCCAAAGGGCATTTCTGAAAGACTAAATATCCTTCGCTTTATTTTGTTTTACTTTAGCAAAGTATACGTGAATTAGAATATCTAAAATTTATATACCAATCTTTTATAAAATGCATTTTAAGAATGCTGATAAGAATAAAAAATTCCATTGAAAGATTGTTCTTACATAGGTTAAAAAAGTAGAGCACAGTGAAAGTAAAACTCATGAGGTGTATTGAAGAGTATGCAGTCTGAACTTATTATTATGTTTGCTTCCCTGCTTCACCAAATGGTTAGATAAGTGTTAATTTCATTAAGTTTATTACATACAGAGATGTCATCTAGAGGAGCCAAATAGCCACTCAAGATAAGGCTTCAGTGGGTGACATTTTGGTGGTGTTACCATTATCTAAAGTTTGGTTCTTAGTTTTGTCCTTTGGGACACATCTTTTTGTCGGCCCACCTATTAGTAATCTGGCACAGAGAGGGTGAATCTCACTGCCCCACCCATAAAAGATTAATGTATCAACCAGAATATCAGTGTATTAATTTACTAAAGAAATATGACTCCTGATACACTGGAAGATTTGTATTCATTTAACTCGCAGATTACTTCAAATGCTCTGCTTGAGAAACTAAATTATAGTAATCAGATTGATTCATAATTATAAATTTGATTAAGGAGGACTAGTTATTTGATATTAATGACTGTCGTTGTCTTGTTCTGGGAGCTATAACAGCCATCTCAGCTCTGGCATGTCCTTGCAGGGGGCTTGGAACTATGATGCTGATGATACATATCACAAAGACCATGTCCTGAATTAATATGCACACTTTCGTAATGGGCAGACAGCATTAGATACAACTATTTTATTGAAGCTTGAGCCTAGGATTTCCCTTTTATTTTCTTATTTAGTTAGGCTGAGTTTAAAGTAATTATTAAGTTTAGTATGTTTTGCCATTCTTCAGTTCTGTGCTTTGGGCACCCATTTACAGATTATTGCTTTGGATGGGTTACTTCTAAAGATGGTTTTCTAATTTATTGGGTGATGTTTTATCCTAATTTTTTTTCTTAAAGGATGACTAAAATTTGTAGGTGGTTCTTTACTGCTGTTTCTGTGTATACAGTTTATTTCTGTTTAGCTAATATTAGGCATCTCAGTATACAGAGTTTTTTTGACCAACTTCTCTTTGTTTTGGACTATCTCATTTGTTCAAATCTTGTATTACTTAACCCACTTCCTTTACCAGTATGTCTTTTTGTTCTAGTTTTGAATTTCTTTTATCTTTTTCATTTCTCTTGCATGGTTTTAATTATAAGGCATAGTTAATTGGACAGTGATAGAAAATTTTGATCATGGACTGTTAAAGAGGTGGAAAAGACCTTAGATTTCACCTAATCCAATTCCCACATTTTATGGATGGGGACCAGAGACTCAGAGAGGTTACGTTACGTCTAACTCTAATTTGAAAATTTTTTTCCCATTATCCTATATTTCATTTTTATATAGAAATTCTAAGGGTATCTGTATTATAAGGGTACAGGGTACCCTTGTAAGGGTATATTATCTTCCTTGTCAAAGAACTTATAGATACAACCCTAACTGGAAATTAGTTTTAATACTTTTAACAATCTTGTTCGTTGTTATAAAGGGTACTTAAGGTAAAGTTAACATTTTTTTAATCCCTTCTTATAGGATCAGATGACAACAATCTGAATTCCATCTTTTATGAACATTTAACCAGATCCCTACAACACAGTCTTTGTGGTGATTTGCACCTAGGACGGTGGGGAAACTACAGTACAGGGGACTGTTTCATTCTTGCCTCTGACTACCTCAATGCGTTAGTACACCTTATAGAGATAGGCAATGGGCTGGTCACCTTCCAGCTGCGGGGACTTGAATTCAGAGGTAAGACATTCACCTTTCATTTCTATAACGTACTCCTGTGACATCTAAGTTTGATGTATCTACATCTCAAATCAAAAGTTATAAAACTAGGTCCTTAGTATTTGGAATTCTGGAATGAGAAAAGCTGCTGAAGAGTAGTTATTAGTTTTTTTCCAAATTTTCCAAATTTCACATTCAGAGAAGAATCATTTTTGCAGTATGCTCTGTATGTAAAGGTAGCATCAATAGTGTATAACAGACTTGTTTTCTCCTGGTAAGAGTGAATTCCTGTTGTTCTGTGCTTGCCCTCTTGCTAGTCTTCTATTGTGATCAGCTGCACGTGCCCGTTAGCTGGCTGGCAGCATAGAATGCCGTGAGGCAGAGGTTGGCTATAACCAAGTGACTTTCATATAACCGCCATGCCTTTGTCCTCAACAATTTTTTTAAATTGAGGTGAAATTCACATAACATCAAATTAACAATTTTAAAGTGAACAGATTAGTGGCATTTAGTACATTCACGATCTTGTGCAACCACCACCTCTGTCTAGTTCCAAAGCGTTTTCATCACCCGAAATAAAACCTCACACCCATGAAGCAGTTACTCCCTATCCCCCCACCAGCCTTCAACAATTTTGTATACTGACAAATGAAGCTGTTTCTACACAGAAAATCGTGCATTCAGAAACACACCAGCTTGATGTTATCCACTTCTGTAAGTTGAGTGTCTTGTAAGCAGGAATAGAAACTTGTCTTATAGGAATTGAAGGAGCCCTATTAATGCATGTGTTTCCAATCTAGGCAACATTTGGACTTGAGAGTTTTTAGAGAAAGCATCCAAGCAGTGTTTTGGTCTATTCTAAGAAGTACCTTAGGTGTTTTTAACCTGAAATAGGAAATAAGAAAGCATTTGTCTAAATAGAGGATCAAATTAGAGCTGTACCCTATAGCTTTATTTTTACCCTGGTGTTGAATCAGAAAGTTTGCACCTTTGTTACATAGTATCTTTTTTAATGGAGCAAGTGCTTTTCTAAAGGTACTCCATTCATTGGAAATAAGATTTTACTTGTGTAAAACTCAAGGTAGTAAATGTTAATGTTTGTTATTTATTTGTAATTTATTTGTAACCCATTCGCTCTCTCTTCTTCACAATCTCCTATTCTTGTCTTATGGTTTGTTTCTGACTCTCTGTCAGAAGCCCAGGACCTTAATTCCATCTCTTCTAGGGTCTTAACCCAATGCTGTTCAAATCGAATCCATCTATCCTCATCCAAAACCCAGCACCCCCTTACCACTACACATACCACTGCTATAACTTCACCTTCTTTTTAAATTGTTGGCACCTGAAGATTTCATCTTTGCTTTTTGATTTTAATTTAACTTTCTTTTTTAACAGGTATTTGTGGGGAGGTTATTTTATCCAGAATTTCTATGTGTGTGAGTTGGAAGGGGGTCCTTCTTATCTGCTCATTTCACCGTATTGATCAGAAATTGTCCAAATCAAAAATTGATCCAAATTTTCACTCTCCCCACTTTACTCTCTGGTACCAAATAGATTCAAGTAAAATTTTGGATAAATCCTTTGCCATCCAAACTCACCCTTTGTCAAACAAAACTCAAATCAATTTGAGAACACAGTACCCCCTTACTTTCTGAACTCATGCTGAATTTCAATAGCAGGCCATACCTGTAATTCTTCATTCAGCCATCGTGATTTTTTTTTTTAAAGGCAAATTCAGTTATGTCCTTTCCATTCCATGCTTTAAATTTTCAGTGGCTTTCCATTGCATTTAAAATAGAATTCAAATTCCTTAACACATCCTATGGACAGCTGTGAGATCTGGCCTCTGTCAGTTTCTCCACCTTACTCTGTAGCACCCTCCTCGTCCACTGTAGCCACACTGGCCTTCCTTCAGTGCCCTAGCTGTGCTAAATTCTTTACTAAGGCCTCCTTATCGCCCTTCGCTTTGCCCAGAAAGTACCAAACGTCTCCCCTCTTCCTGCCAATCTTCTACCTCTAATTACTTAATTATCTTTAAGAATTAGCTTAACTGTCACTTTCTCAGAGAAGCCTTAGTCTCTAACCACCTGTCCCACATGATTATCTCTCATACTACCCTGTTTTTACCTCCTTAGCAGAGCTCTAATTTTATATTTATTTATTTGTTTAAAGTTTGTCTCTTCTCTAGCCCAGGGGTTGGCAGACATTTCTGTGAAGAGCCAAGATAGTTAATAGTGCAGGCTTTTGGAGCCATACACACTCTCTGTTGCATGTCCTTCTTTGATTTTTCTTTTAAACAACCCTTTAAAAATATCAAAACCACTCTTAGCTTGGATTTGGCCCAGGGCTGTATTTTGTAAACCTTTGCTGTAGATTATAAACTCCTCAAGGGCAGGAGTCCTATCTGCTTCATTTATCATTGTATATCCAGGACCTATCACAGCAGCTAGCATGTGATAAAGATCATTTTGTAGACTGGTTAAGTAACCTAAGTAATAGTCTTTTCTCCTTCCTCTTCATTGCAGAACTTTGGTGAGGAATGATTATATTCTTGCTCAAATGCTGTTGTGATCTTTGGTTATTTTCTTTCCTTCACAGTGGTAGTCCCTGTTTCATCTACCTCCTACCCCTCAAAATATTAATTAAGAGTGTTGTCAGGCAGTATTTTGCCAGGCAGATATTTGGATCTGCTGAGCATTTTGATGTGTTTTCTGATGTATACTCCATTAAGCCAATTTAATTCCTTTGATTTTATTGTCTCTCATAGTGGATGCTAAATTTTAAGTGACATTTAACTAAAATTTCTTGATCAGTTTTTTACAGATCTTGGTTAAATACCTTCATAGTTTTCATTTCCATTTTCATTTTACTGATATTCTCAAGATTCTTTTCCATGTAAATTTTATGTCAAATATTTGAGTTATCAATCATGTTTTTTGTCTATCAGAATTTCCTGGTTACAGCTTCTACCAAGTTTGTAAATGTTACTTCTATATATTTTTAAATGTTACTTCTACCAAGTGTGGTTTTTCAGGTCAAACTTTATAGGTCAAACATTTTTATTCTGTTTGGATTCCTTTCAGTTTTTACTCAAATTAATTTTAACATGTCTGGTTTTCATAATTGTTAGTTTTATTAATTTTTACCAGTTATATTCACTATGAAGTGACTGAAGGATCTAGCTAATCCAGGAAGCAATTAGTAATGGTTTCTCTAGAATCCCTTTCCAAATCTCAAAATTCTTTTTTCAGTTATTAATACTCCTGTGCTTATTGGTGACTTCATTTTCTAAGCAAAATGTATTACTGGGTATGTTGGGGTAGAAAATATTCTTGGGGTTTGTATGTCAGAGTGAAAACACCCCACATTAATTCAGTTACTCTGTTTATTCTGCTACTCTGAACAAGGACCTCATTCTGTCTCTCGTGAGAAAATGTCAAACCTCTGAATTCACTCCTGCCTGTTATCTTCTCTGTATACTACTACCAGAGTCATCTGCACAAAATACAGCTCTCGTTATGGTATTTCCTTTACTTTAAAAACCTTTGACTGACTTTGCAGAAGGATGGCAAAATGAATAAAATAAAGTAAAAACATATAAAACCTAAGGAATAGACCCAACTTCATGCCATAGTTTAAAAAACCCAGCCTCAGAAAGTTTCTTCTAGAAATTGAATAATTCTTCTGCCCTCTCTAATCTATTCTAGCAAATGGGTAAGGAAGGAAAATATCTCAAGGCTCTCTTGCACAAAACCAATGTAATACTGATGTCAAAATATGACTGAACTGGCTAAAAAAGTAACTATAGTTTAATTTGTTTATGACTATAGATACAAAAATCCTCAGAGCCCAGAGTAAGGAGAAACCAGCAGTACTTTTTTTTTTTTTTTTTAGTACTTTTATTTTTAAGTATCCCTCACCAATTCAGCCGTTTTTCATTCTTTAAATTAATTATTAAAGGCAAATTGGTTAAATTCCATTATTGGTTTCAAAAGTACTTTATAAAACTACATAACTTCCTTATTCTGAAAAAAGTGTATACGTGTATCTGTAGTCAGTATCATGTGTTATGGTCAGCCACAGCATGCATTCCTGTTTATGTCAGGTTCAAGACAAAGTTTTTTCACCACTATGTAACACTATTTTGGAAGTGCTCGTCAACATAATTAAACAAGAAATGAAATAAAGTGTTGAAGGCTCTAGAGTTCTCGACAGTACAGCTCATTAGCTTGGCCAAGCTTACCTCTCAGTCTTATCGTTCATCATACCACCATCACCACCACCACCACCGTCACCAACCGGGGCTAAATTTCATGGCATCTTTTTCTCTCAAAGTGGTGTTTTAAATATGGATGTTGTCTATATCCTCTTTAAAAGAAAAAAATTATTATGAAGTCCCACTTACTCTTACTGTAATGCAACGTTAATATGTGCCTTTATAAAATTAGCTATAATCACTCTATAGTCCTATAAGGAATTTACAAATTAAATGGAAGCAAGACCACAGAACAAAATAAAAATTAACATGAATGTGATGGATGGTATTTTGTTGGCATAGATGGCTGTGTATCTAATTCTATATTTAATCTGATTTTCTATTTTTATTTCCATAACACTAACGCAGAGAATGCCTATTAGATAAGTGTCATCTGTAAAAGAATGTAATTTCAAAGAATTGTTTGCTAGTACAGAACAATCAGACCTGGTACCTAATTGAAACTTTATCAGCAGATAAGCCTCAAGTGCCAATAATGTAATCTTATCCACTTATTGTTGGAATTGGCAACAGAGAAAAATTGTAATTATATATTTAATATTAAACTATAGTGAACCATTACAAGTTGTATAGCCAAGTAAGTAGGATGTATATATACTATTTCTGCTTGCAGCATGGACACAGTGCTGGTGAGAATACAGCCCAGATTCTTTTGAGTTCTGCATGTCTGTCTGTATTGTGTGCCCCGGGATGACTCAGTTTTCGTTCCACTCCTCCAGTTTTGAGTTAACTCAGACCTTCATGAGACACACGTTGACTCATTTGGTCTTCATTTGATATGAATGCAGTTATAAACCCAAATTTGAAAAATTTGGGAATCAATGAATCAAAATTAAGGTTGCCTTATTGCACAAATTCTCAGAACCTTGAATGTGCTAGTACACATTATGATTCTGCAGGCGATGAATATATACTATGCCTCTTTTCTGGAGCATGCTGCAGTTTGTTAATGGACAGTCTAAGGCAAATCAGTCGCATACTCTCAATTGCTATAAATAAAATGTCTTTTTTCTAAGTTTCTTATGTCTTTGAAGCATTCATTTTTCCACCTCATGTTTTTTTCACCTCATGTTTCTTTCCCCTTTGTCGTAAGTGCTTTCTCTTTCTCTCTAAGGTACTTACTGTCAACAACGGGAAGTGGAGGCCATTACTGAAGGTGTTGAGGAAGATGAAGGATTTTGCTGTTGTGAACCTGGCCATATTCCTCATGTGCTTTCATTTAATGCTGCATTTAGCCAGCGCTGGCTAGCTTGGGAAGTGATAGTCACCAAGTATATTTTGGAGGGTTATAGCATCACTGACAATAGTGCTGCTTCTATGCTTCAAGTCTTTGATCTTCGGAAAGTACTCACCACTTACTATGTCAAGGTAAGGATACATGCCTACTTAGATCTGGTATCAGAGGCTCTTGGAAAAGACACACGTATACGCACACGTGCGCACACACATGCACGTTTGTTTTTTTAACTTGTGCTTTGCTTCTAATTGGTGATTTAAATTCTCTAGTATCCAGTACAGTCAGTAAATTATACCTGTGAAGGTCTTGCTATTTCCTTCTTTAGTGAAACTTATTACATTTGTTCATTAATATTAATAGCTACCATCTGTAGTGCATATCTTTTAGGCACTGCGTTAAGGAATACACACATACACGCATGTATGTATATGATATGTATATCTTACCTAATTCTCTAAAGGAATATTATGTCCCTGTTTTACATATAAACAAGTTAAGGATCAAAAGTTAACTTCGCCGAAGTCCTCTAACTAGCAAGTGGAGTTGGGGATTTAAAACACAGGCTTGTCTGATTCCTGAGTCCTTGCTATTAACCACTGCTTTGCACTGCTTTCAACAAACTGAATGAAAGTATTGCAGGATTTGGGAGGTCTCCAAAAACACCCTCACATTTGACACCAGTTGCAATTTCAGGGTTCCCAAGACCCTGAAACCACAATCAGATTCAATAATTTGCTAGAAGGACTCACAGAACTCAGCAAAGCCATTATACTCATGGTTAGAATTTATTACAGTGGAAGGATACAGGTTAAAATCTGCCAAGGGAAGAGGCACATAGGGCAGGGTCTAGAGACACTAAGGCCTGAACTTCCAGTTGTCCTCTCCCAATGGAGTTGTGTAGACAATGTTTATTTCTCCCAGTAACGATGTGAGAGAATACCTACAGAGTGTTGCCAGCCAAGGAAGCTCGCCTGACCCTCAGTGTACAGAGTTTGTCTTGACACACAGTCATTTAGACTTGTTTGACCATCCACATGGCCAGCCTTAGTCTCCAGATCCTCTCTCTAGAGCTCATGGTTCTAAGCCTCCAGGTAAATAAAGACTCTTTATCAGGCAGGACAGTGCATGGGATTAGAGGTTACCTCCCAGAACCCAGGTGCAAAGCCCAAACCTCTCTTTGGGCAAGATTAGTTCTTTACTGCACAGGTATTCTGTTTTTGCTAAAGATTTTACAGAAGTACAGCATGGTTATGACTGGGGGTTTACAGGCTAAGCCAACATTTTCAAGAGGAAAAATGTATGCTAAATCTTAATGATTCATGTGTTATTACCTCTATGTACCACCTTATTTGTGCTGATTGGGTTGAAGCCTGAGTCCTCTGTTGAATGTTTGGTTAAACCCAACCTCAGGAAGCTAAAGAAATTGACTTTACAACTTTTTTTTTTTTTTTTTTTTTTGCGGTGCGCGGGCCTCCCCCTGTTGTGGCCTCTCGCGTTGCGGAGCACAGGCTGCAGACGTGCAGGCTCAGCGGCCATGGCTCACAGGCCTAGCCGCTCCGCCACATGTGGGATCTCCCGGGACCGGGGCACGAACCCGGGTCCCCTGCATCTGCAGGCAGACTCTCAACCACTGCGCCACCAGGGAAGCCCTACAACATTTTTTAATATGTGTGCATTTGTGTGTGGAATTTCCTCTCTCTAAAGATGTATATTTCTATTGCTTTATTTGTTATATTTTTATAACTTGACCTAGGATCACAAGATGGTTTAATAGCTTTCTATGAGAATTTTCTCAAAATAAGTACACCACAATAAAGGTTTTTCATCTCTCTTAAAAGATCCTAAACTCAATAGACAGAATTGTTTTTAGAATATCCTAAAATCAGTGGGCTGGAGTTGTTTTGAAGTTGCCTTCTTGAATTTATGGTTGTGATTTTAAAAGTATTAAATTAATTTTTTTTTATCCAGGAAGGCCTGAGATGTATTACTATAGCATTCTTAAAATAGTATACTTACAGTATTGAGCTGGAATATACATTTTTGATTCCTACTATTGTATAAACAGTTGGAATTAATTTACTGAGGACTTGCAATTAATTCAGATTGTGGTTTAGCCTGATTTTTTTTTTTAATCTTTTCCTCATTAGGGTATCATTTATTATGTTACAACCTCTTCTAAACTGGAGGAGTGGCTAGCTAATGAGACGATGCAGGAAGGACTACGTCTGTGTGCAGATCGGAATTACGTTGATGTGGACCCAACGTTTAATCCAAACATTGATGAAGACTATGACCATCGACTTGCAGGCATATCCAGGGAGAGTTTCTGTGTGATTTACCTCAACTGGATAGAGTATTGCTCTTCCCGAAGAGCAAAGGTAGAGTTTATGTCGTTTATAACTCTTTGAATCTGTTTTTCCAAAGATGGAAAGAATCCCTTTATTTGTTATCATGAGGGCAGTTTTTCTAGGCTTTCATCTTTCTAACTATCTGGGTAAGAGAACCTGTCTAGTTCATTATGATTGGGCCAAACCAACTCTGCCAAAACAGGTTAGAGTAAGCGACCTTTCTCATTCTTTCATCTGCAGTGTCATAATCTCACTGTCCAAATAGCAACCCCTCCACCCTGTGCAGGTACGTACGTATACACAGATTGAGGTTGTAGATTATGTGTAGCACCTTCTTAAAGACTGCGTTTTGGAGCATCCCCAGCCCCAAGCCCCCAAACACACACAGCAGACTTAAGGATAAGTTAATATCTTTGTCCCAAATCCAAAGTCTAATCCAGTGCTAATAGAATTTTCTGCAATGATGGAAACATTCTGTGTTGTTCCAATATGGTAATTACTAACCCACTACATATGGTAGATTATGAGACACTTGAAATGTAGCCAGTATGACTAAGGAAATGAATTTTTAAATTTAATTTTAATTGATTTAAATTTAAATCAATTAAATTTAGGCTAGTGGCTACCATACTGGACAATGTTCATCTAGACTACTGACTTTAAAATGTTAACATGGGTAAAAATGATACAGGAATGTGTAAAAATGCAGATTCATGGGCCTTGCCTGCGAGATTCTTATTCTGTAGGTCTAGGCTGGGGACCCAATATCTGTGTCATGCTGGGTGATTATAATGCAAGAGGTTCGTAATCCGCACTTCAGGATAACTTGTCTTATCCTAAAGGGAAGCTGAGTTACAGACTTCAGCAACTGCTGTTTTCCCCCCAGGTCCCGTGGCTCTTGTGGCAGTGTTGCTCCCCTGGTTAGACCCCAGGGACCGTAACCACGGTACGAAGGCAGAGTGCAAAGTCTTGCGTAGTTGAACCACCAAGCATCCTACGTACAGGATTACTCTGTACCATGGAGCATAGTGAGCCACTTTGACAGCCAGTGCCTTTATCATGGTCTGGGCCGTACACACTGACTGTCTTTAGATGTAGCACCTAGTTTAGTCTTTCCTTTACAGATACTCGTTAGAGTAAGGCACCGCATCATAATCAGCCTGTTTCTCTTACTTCATCCATGAGAAAGGGAGCATCCTGGTAATTCCTCTTTGAACAGTGGCCTCTGAGCTTTTATACTGGATGCACAGTAGATACTGAGCAGAGTAGCATATTTTTAAGGAAGGAATCAAAGATAGAATAAAATAACCTTGTAAGAGCTCAGAAAAAGGACCAGCAGACAATGTCTGGAAATGGAGGCCCTCAAAGCTAATCTTCTCTTCTTTCAAACACATAACAAGCAGTTTATTTTTTTTCATAAATGAAATATACTTAGAATGCTTTGCACACTGTTCTCAAATCCTTGGACTTATTTCTTGGCGGGGGAGGGGGAGGTGGGGGGCAGTTGGAGTGACCATATTATTCTAATAGCCTTTCTCTGGCTTATACTATATTGGTTACTTTTGTTTGGTTTAACCATCGTCACCTAGGCTAGGAACTCAGTCTACCGACTCAGGAACAGGCTCCATCCTGCCTAACTTTAAGGAATAAATAATCTCTTAGAAATTATTGCTGAGGTCATGGATGTACCTCAAGGAAGTCATCCTCTTAATTGCTAATAAATCATATTCAAAAGGTTTACCTCCAAACTTGGGTATCCCCAGTCTCTTCAGAGAGCTTATTATCACTAGATCAGTCTGGCTTATATTCTACTCTTGTAGTTCCCTCTAGAAGAAAATTGTCAGAAAAATTAAAATAATCCCTTCATTCTCCAGTTTTTTAAATTGAACAAGATTATCCCTACCTCCTTAAAACCATGAATTCTGTTTTCTGAATCACCATTCCCAGAATAACCTCTTCCCAGGGAAGGAAGTTAATTAAACCAGAAAGATTTGCTGACTCCAAATTCTGGCACCCTCACCTGAATGTTAATAAAGTTGCCTCCAGACTTTTTTTCCAGTAATTTCCTTCCAGGATAGTTTTCTAACTTGCATATTACACAGAAATAAAAAAGTCATTCTTTCCTCCTTCTCTTATTATATGTATTCTAGGAGGAAATAATCTTTCATATAATAGCTGTACCTGTCTTCTGAAGAGCTTGAAATAATGTTTTTGTAAGTGTAGCCCTGGATTAACTGCATTAAAACTACCTGGAATGCTAAATTGGAAAGATTCGTCTCAGCTTGACTTTGCTTCCTTTGCTTTGTTAAATGACAGTACATTTCTTTCACCATTGTTGTTAGTATTAGCAAGAAGTCTTTGTGAGAATTTCTAATGCATTTGAGGATGTAAGACACATGTCTTCTCCAACAGTAACAAAATAGAGCTACCAGGGTTGAACCAATTATTTTTTTCTCTCAGTACATTAACGATGTGGCTACGCTGCCTTCTGGCTTGCATTGTTTCTGACAAATAATAAAGGCGCACCTCAGAGATATTGCAGGTTCTGTTCCAGACCACCACAGTAAAGCGAGTATCACAGTAAAAGCGAGTCAACACGAATTGGTTTTTTTCCCAATTGTAAATGTTATGAAGTATACTAAGTGTGCAATAGCATTACGTCTAAAACTGTAACCATGTACATTACTTAATTTCAAAATACATTATTGCTAAAAAATGCTAGCCATCATCTGAGCCTTCAGTAAATCATAATCTTTTTGCTGGTGGACGGTTTGAAATATTTTGAGAATTACCAAAATGTGACCCAGAGGCATAAAAGTGAGCAAATACCATTGGAAAAAATGGTGCCAATAGACTTGCTCAAAACAACATTGCCACAACTCTTCAAGTTGTAAAAAAACACAAAAAAACAAAAAAAACCCCACAGTATATGCAAAACGTAATAAAACAATGTATGCCTGTATGTACCACATAATGATGTCTTTTTTTGCTGGCTGCTTTTAAGATTTTCTCTTCTTTACTAGTTTTAAGCAATTTACTTATTTATTTGGTTATCCTGGGTCTTAGTTGCTGCACACTGCATCTTCATTGCAGCATGCAAACTCTTAGTTGCAGCGTGTGGGACTAGATCCCCTGACTAGGGATCGAACCTGGGCCGCCTGCATTGGGAGCCTGGAGTCTTAGCCATTAGACCACCAGGGAAGTCCCAAGCAGTTTAATTATGATGTACCTTGGTGCTGTCTTCTTAATGTTTCTTGTTCTTGGAGTTCCTTGAGCTACTTGAATCCCTAGGTATATATCATTTTCATCAGATTTGGAAATATTTTGGTGATTATTTTTTTCAAATTTTTTTCCCTGTCTTCCTGTTTCCCTTTTCTGGGGAACTCCAGTTAACATTTATATTAGGCTGCCTTAAGTTGTCCTACAGCTCACTGATGCTCTGTATTTTTTTTTTAGTCTTTTTTTGTCTCTGTGTTTAATTTTGCATAGTTTCTGTTATATTTGTTAGATCATTTATTTTTTCTTCTGCGTTGTTTAATATGCCATTAATCTCATGTAGTGTATTTTTTTTATTCTCAGACATTGCATTTTTTTGTATTTTTGAGGTTTAATTTTTGTCTTTAATTTTTTTTTTTTTGGCTGCTCTGTGGGGCTTTCGGGATCTTAGTTCCCCAATCAGGGATCGAACCCAGGCCCCCAGTGGTGGAAGCGTGGAGTCATAACCACTGGACCACCAGGGAATTCCTCGTGTCTTTTATACTGATATAAACCTTCCATGTCTCTACTAGCATGCTGTCATTCCTCTATCTTTTTGAACTTATGGAATGCAGTTATAATAACTCTTTTAATGTCCTTGTTGACTAATTCTAACATCTGCGTCATTTCTGGGTCAGTTTTGATTGATTAGTTGATTATTTTTCTAATTGCGGGTCCTATTTACCTGCTAGTTTGCATGCCTGACAATTTTTGATTGGATGCTAGACTTTATGAATTTTACCTTGATGAGTGCTAGATATTTTTGTATTCCCATAAATATTATTGACCTTATTATTCTGTGACACAATTAAATTCCTTGGGGACAGTTTGATCTTTTCAGGGTTTACTTTTAAGCTTTCTTAGGAGGGACCAAAGCAGCCTTTAGTCTGGGGCTAATTTTTCCCCATTACTGAGACAGTATTCTTTTGAGCACTCTAGCCAATCATAGAATTTTCCATTGTTCCTTTCTGCTTTTTTCCTGATGGTTCTGTTCTCAGCCTTGGACCTTTGCTGTATGTGCTGATCAGTAATCTGCTGGACTCAAGAGGGATCCTCTGCAGATCTCCAGAGCTTGCTCTCTATATGTAGGTCTCTCCTTGGCACTTTGCCCTGCAAACTCTAGCCACCTTGACCTCCCCAGACTCCCAGCTATCTCCTCAACTTGGAGACCTCTAGGCTCTACCTGTGTTCCTCTTCCTTGTACTACAGCCTGGAAACTCTTGTAGGATTTCCCATTTCTCAGAGATTAGTATCCAATGTCTCAATATATTCTTTTCTTGGTCATTTCAGTTGCAAGGGGTAAATCCAGCCTTCATTACTCTGTCTTGGCCAGTAGCAGAGGCCTGAACTAAATTTAAAATAAAAATTTTTTTGGACTGCCCTGGCGGTCCAGTGGTTAAGACTCTGCACTTCCACTGCAGGGGGGCACGGGTTCAATCTGTGGTCAGGGAACTAAGATTCCCACATGCCACGTGGTGCAGCCAAAAAAAAAATTTTTTTTCCCATCACAAAAGCAATACATTTTCAGTATATAAAGTTGACTGGGTGGGGAAGGGAGGGAGACAGAAAAGAAAGAAATGTAGGATCTCCTACACAGTTACTATTGTTAATTGAATTACGCAATTAATGGTAATTAACTAACCAAGCTATATTAGTATCTTAGACAACTGCCCTTTTTTGTTTATAAGTTAATGGTTTATAAAGCCAAATGTATATACCATTGGCAAAGTTAGAATAATTAAGCTCATTATCAGCCTAGATCCATGATTCTTCAACTTTAGCATGCATTAGAATCACCTGGAGTGTGATGGGCAGACACCACCTTCAGAATATGACTTCATAGGTCTGAAGTGGCTCAAGAATTTGCGTTTCTCATAAGTTCCCAGATGATTCTCATGTTGTGTCCCAAGATTACACTTTGAGAACCACTGCTTTAGATTGTTGCCAGTCATTGAGATGCTACCAAACTTTTCTGTAGTATTATATAAAGTGTACCATTTTGCTTGTGCATATATGTATATAATTATTGTATTATATATTTTTAATATATAATATATATGTAATAGTCAATAATCAAGGTATGCAGTTGTTGAAAAATTAAAAGGTTGAGGGAAAGCAGTATTCTACAGATATCAATTTGATTTTCTTTACTATGGTTATAGTCACTAATAGGCTATATAGATAGAATATTGTCTTTTTCAGGAGAGGACAGTATCAGTAATGATGTATATCAACAAGTACTTTGAGATGTTTAGTTAAGATCCTAATACTCTGTAATACAGCCACTTTTTTTTTTAGTATGTTCTAGTATTATTATAAAGTATTAGATTTTATTTAAAGATTCCAAAGAACCTCCTCATATACATTCACACTTCATTTTATGCTGTTTTGTTAAGTTTCTTTTCATTAGAACTTTTATCTGGAGAGATAGAAAGTATGTACTAGTTGAGCTCCTGAACTTCTCTGATTTATTAAATAGATATCTTCTGACTTGTTAAATACTCATATTCCTTTCTGATAACTAACATTCTTTTGTTTTTCCTTTTTTTAATGAGGTGTAATTGACATAACATTAATTAGTTTCAGGTGTACAACATAATTTTTCCATATTTGTGTATATTGCAAAGTGATAACCACAATAAGTCTAGTTAACATCTTTCACCATACATAGTTAACAGAATTATTTTTTCCTTGTGACGAGAACTTTTAAGATCTACTCACTCAGTAATTTTCAAATATGCACTACAGTATTACTGAACTGTAGTCATTGTGCTGTACATTACATCACCATGACTTATTCATTTTATAACTGGAAATTTGTGCCTTTTGACCCTGTCACCCCATTCTTTGTTTTTTAAAGCCACTGGATGTGGACAAAGATTCATCCCTGGTGACTCTTTGTTATGGACTCTGTGTTCTGGGACGGAGAGCTTTGGGGACTGCATCCCACCATATGTCCAGGTAAGGAAGGCATTTCTGTTTTCAGAAAGAGACTGGGAAGCTCTATAACTGAAATCTGAAAAATCTGAAATAGTTTTTAATGGAAGCATTCTGTGCTAATTTATTGCAAATGCCTCTTCGGATATTGTATTGTATAGATCTTTTTGCCGAACACAGTGGAGTTCTAAGTGGTTAACAGAACTGGCTTTTAAAATTCACACGTGTGGGCAACTATAGATAATGAGAATTTAACAGACTTAAGACATTTTAAGAAATAATCAACTCATAATATATGATTGGTCTCTTCCCATATACATCTATTTTTCTAACAATTCATTTCTTTTTATTTTTCCATTTCTCCTTGCAATTTTTGTTCACAGCATTTATACTGTTAATATAGTGGTACATTAGATTTGGAGACTAAATATAAACTGGATTTCTTGACATATACATCAAATTGAATTAGAATTAAGAAATGCCACATATTTTAAGTTTCTTCTGTGATTCCTACATGTTTTCCATTAGGCCCTCCTTACTTCCTTTTAAGTTACAGTGTCTTTGCCTGTTGCTTATTTTCAGGGACTCACTATTATAGCAGTTCATAAACAAGGGTCCCAGGTCAAACAGGCCCTGTCCCTTGTGATTCTGATTCAGGGGTGCTTACATTAGTTCTTGGCATTTGTATCTTCAAAACACTCCCACATTCTTCTGATGCATAACCAAATGTTAGAATCAGTGTGATGGAAGACCTTTGTTAAAATATGTAAACTTTTATCTCTAATCTTAACAGTAATTTAGAGTCATTCCTCTATGGATTGCATGCCCTATTTAAGGGAGATTTCCGAATTTCTTCAATTCGAGATGAATGGATCTTTGCTGACATGGAATTGCTGAGAAAAGTAGTAGTCCCTGGAATTCGTATGTCCATTAAACTTCATCAGGTAAGAGTAGGGAATTTCTAATGCATTACTGGTGTTTAATGGTACTTCTTCACTTGACTTCCAAATTATGTTCCTTAGGATCCTTTTGAGAAAGACTCTGATTCAAAGCAAAGAAAAACATGATTCATGACATGATATTAAATCTTAGGAGCCTAAACCTGTGTTTCTAACAGTAAATTTGAACGTTAATATTAGGGAGTGACCTGGGCATGAACTTGAGGAAAAAATGCAAGCAGTGATAAACTGGAAATAAATACCTATGGCCCCTGTAATGGTTGCTTTGACTTCACGTGATTGTAATTCATTCCTGTTCTGCGGGTGGTCGTAGCTGACTTCTGGTGCAGTGTAACAGCATCTCTGGAGTCTTGTAAGTGCTGCTGTTACTGAAGTCTGAGCTCCATTCAGCATGTTGTATAGAGTAATAGATGGTTAGGACAGATTCAGCCTTAATTAGATAATCCTAGTAAGGTAATAAAATGAAAATGAGGGCTCCAAAATGTATATCTAAAGCCCCGGATCACTTTAAGAATATATTTTGAAATTAAATACTGGCACTTGCTGCTCTAATCATTCCACTTGACAGTAATGATGAGATCTGATGATAGAGAGCACATGACAATATTCATTAAAACACATCTGCTGTGCTCAAATCTGGATGACTCTTTCCACCAAATAAAGGGTGAATCACTCTTCAGATGATTTTACTGTGATCTAAAGTGTTAGAATGGGAAGTTCCCTGGTGGCCCAGTGATAAAGAATCTGCCACCCAATGCAGGGGCCACGGGTTTGATCCCTGGTCAGGGAACTAAGATCCCACATGCTGCGGGACAGCTGAGCCCACGTGCCACAACTACTGAGCTTGCGCACCACAAACTACACAGCCCACGTGTTGTGGAGTCCACGCACCACAACTAGAGAGAGAAAACCCACGCACCACAACTAGAGAGAGAAAACCTACACACCACAACTAGAGAGAAGCCCACGCACCACAACGGAAGATCCTGCATGTCTCAGTGAAGACTCCGCATGCCACAACTAAGACCCGACACAGCCAAAAAATAAAATAAAATAAGGTAAAACGTGTTGCAATGAAGTTAACACCCCACATTATTTAGGAGCATTACTGATAAGGGCTATAGTATTTGAAAATCTCTGTGAAAAGAATACTATTTTGAGGATGATGGGGAAAATGTACAATAGGGATCAAATAGAATTGTCCATCTTCAGGCTAGCTTTAGAGTTTCAAGACAAAATTCAATGTATTGACAAGAAAAAGATAATGACTTCATATTAAAATATTTTTAAAACTTCAGAATTTCTCAAAAGGTATTGTGTGTCTCCTACATAAGAAATACTCTTTTATGTAGTATGACTAACTGTTAATTCTGAACATTATGACAGGTATTTTATCTCCATCTGGGAGAGAGGAGCTGAGGCACAGGCTCTCTGTATTTTCTGATCCTTCCGTGTCTGTCCCTATCTCTCCCTACGAGTGCTATTGCCTGTTGCTCCCAGTCCATTTCCTCACATGTGTTTTTAGCCTGTGACAGTGGTTCTCCACCTTATAATCAGGCCCAACACAGTTGGGTATAGCACACTGTCATCATTAGCCATGACAGACAGCAACAGTGACAAACAGAGAGGGGTAAGGAGGTGGACTCGGGAACTGGGGGCCATGGAGGGCTGGGGGAGGGGAGGAGATGAGAACACAGATGCAACCTGGAGAAGTTCTGTGATTCACATACACCTTTGAGAAGGGTGAGATTGACCTGTAAAGTAACAAGCAACAGCCATTCACTGCACATCACTTTGACCAGACGATGGGTTGCCAGTGAGGGACTCTCTGGCCAGGAAAAGATAGATGTGTCAGTCAGTACTGGTCATCTCCAAAGTTCATATGTACTCATGAAAATCCACAGAAGGCTTATATGTTAAAGGATTAGTACACGCTTGGCATATGACGCAGCAACTCCACTCCTATGTATTTACCCAAGAGAATGAAAGTGTATGGCCATGCAAAGACTTACACACAAGTGTGCATAGCCATTCTATAGCCCCAGACGGCAAACTCCAATGTTCATCAACAGATAGAATGTTACGTAGCAATAAAAAGAAATGATCTACTGTTACATGCCACAACAAGAATGAATCTCAAACATTATGCAGAGTAAGAGAAGCCAAACATAAAAAGAGTACATAATATTTTAGGAACCAAGATGGTGGAGTAGAAGGACGTGCTCTCACTCCCTCTTGTGAGAACACTAGAATCACAACTAGCTGCTGGACAGTCATCAACAGGAAGACACTGGAACTCACCAAAAAAGACACCCCCATATCCACAGACAAAGGAGAAGGCACAATGAGATGGTAGGAGGGGCGCAATCACAGTAAAATCAAATCCCGTAACTGCTGAGTGGGTGACTCACAGACTGGAGAACACTTATACCACAGAAGTCCACCCACTGGAGTGAAGGTTCTGAGCCCCACGTCAGGATCCAAAACTGGGGATCCATCAACAGGAGGAGGAATTCCTAGAGAATCAGACTTTGAAGCCTAGTGGGATTTGATTACAGGACTTTGACAGGACTGGGGGAAACAGAGACTCCACTCTTGGAGGGCACACACAAAGTAGTGTGTGCATCAGGACCCAGGGGAAGGAGCAGTGACTGCAGGGGAGATCGAACCAGACTTACCTGCTAGTGTTGGAGGGTCTGCTACAGATGCGGGTGGTGGCTGTGGCTCACTGTGGGGACAAGGACACTGGCAGCAGAAGTTCTAGGAAGTACTCCTTGGCGTGAGCCCTCCCAGAGTCCGCTATTAGCCCCACCAAAGAGCCCAGGTAGGCTCCAGTGTTGGGTTGCCTGAGGCCAAACAATTAACAGGGAGGGAACCCAGCCCCATCCATCAGCAGTCAAGCAGATTAAAGTTTTACTGAGCTCTGCCAACCAGAGCAACAGCCAGCTCTACCCACCATCAGTCCCTCCCATCAGGAAACTTGCATAAGCCTCTTAGATAGCCTCATCCACCAGAGGGAAGACAGCAGAAGCAAGAAAAACTACAATCCTGTAGCCTGTGGAACAAAAACCACAGTCACAGAAAGATAGACAAGATGAAAAGGCAGAGGGCTATGTACCAGATGAAGGAACAAGATACAACCCCAGAAAAACAACTAAGTGAAGTGGAGATAGGCAACCTTCCAGAAAAAGAATTCAGAATAATGATAGTGAAGATGATCCAGGACCTCAGAAATAGAATGGAGGCAAAGATCGAGAAGATGCCATAAATGTTTAACAAAGACCTAGAAGAATTAAAGAACAAACACCTAGAAGAAATAAAGAACAAACAGATAAACAGTATAATAACTGAAATGAAAAATACACTAGAAGGAATCAATAGCAGAATAACTGAGGCAGAAGAACGGATAAATGACCTGGAAGACAGAATGGTGGGATTCACTGCTGCGGAACAGAATACAGAAAAAAGGATGAAAAAAATGAAGACAGCCTAAGAGACCTCTTGGACAACCTTAAATGCAACAACATTCGCATTATAGGGGTCCCAGAAGGGGAAGAGAGAGAGAAAGGACGTGAGAAAATATTTGAAGAGATTATAGTCGAAAATTTCCCTAATATGGGCAAGGAAGGAGCCACCTGAGTCCAGAAAGCGCAGAGAGCCCCATACAGGATAAACCCAAGGAGAAACACGCCGAGACACATAGTAATCAAATTGGCAAAAATTAAAGACAAAGAAAAATTATTAAAAGCAGCAAGGGAAAAATGACAAATAACATACAAGGGAACTCCCATAAGGTTAACAGCTGATTTCTCAGCAGAAATTCTACAAGCCAGAAGGGAGTGGCATGATATACTTAAAGTGATGAAAGGGAAGAATCTACAACCAAGACTACTCTACCTAGCAAGGATCTCATCCAGATTCGATGGAGAAATCAAAAGCTTTACAGACAAGCAAAAGCTAAGAGAATTCAGCACCACCAAACCAGCTCTAGAACAAATGCTAAAGGAACTTCTCTAAGTGGGAAACACAAGAGAAGAAAAGGACCTACAAAAACAAACCCAAAACAATTAAGAAAATGGTCATAGGAACATACATATCGATAATTACCTTAAACGTGAAGTGCTCCAACCAGGAGACACAGGCTTGCTGAATGGATACAAAAACAAGACCCATCTATATGCTGTCTACAAGAGACCAAATTCAGATCTAGGGACACAGACCTAGGGACTGAAAGTGAGGGGATGGAAAAAGATATTCCATGCAAAAGGAAATCAAAAGAAAGCTGGAGTAGCAATACTCACATCAGATAAAATAGACTTTAAAATAAAGAATGTTACAAGAGACAAGGAAGGACACTACATAATGATCAAGGGATCAATCCAAGAAGAAGATATAACAATTATATATGCACCCAACATAGGAGCACCTCAATACATAACGCAACTGCTAACAGCTATAAAAGAGGAAATCGACAGTAACACAATAATAGTGGGGGACTTTAACACCTCACTTACACCAATGGACAGATCATCCAAAATGAAAATAAATAAGGAAACAGAAGCTTTAAATGACACAATAGACCAGATAGATTTAATTGATATTTATAGGACATTCCATCCAAAAACAGCAGATTACACTTTCTTCTCAAGTGCGCACAGAACATTCTCCAGGATAGATTCCATCTTGGGTCACAAATCAAGCCACAGTAAATTTAAGAAAATTGAAGTCATATCAGGCATCTTCTCTGACCACAACGCTATGAGATAGAAATGAATTACATGGAAAAAAACATAAAAAACACAAATACATGGAGGCTAAACAATACGGTACTAAATAACCAAGAGATCACTGAAGAAAGCAAAGAGGAAATCAGAAAATACCTAGAGGCAAATGACAATGAAAACACGAAGATCCAAAACCTATGGGATGCAGCAAAAGCAGTTCTAACAGGGAAGTTTATAGCTATACAAGCCTACCTCAAGAAA